GAATCCAGTGGCAGCACATTGCACCATGGGATATACGCCCAGAATGTTGGGTGGTTATTAAAAGAAAAAAAAGCACGCAGAACTGTGGATGCACTGATTCACAAGGGAAGTAGCTGTAGCCAGCATAAATAAAGCTGTGTGGAAACCCTCCTTTGCTGTAGTGTTAGCAGGGGAAAACACACTGAAAACCCTTTCCCTTGCAGACAAGGCCTTACCCCCTTTGTTTAAAAAACACTCAGTGCTCTGCTGTTGGCTTCTTCTGATTCTGCCACATCCTTGCAACGCTCCCCTTCTCCGTCCTCTGGGAAAGAGCTACTTAACAGCTAGCACAGAGTTGTTGAGCACCAGAGGTCACAAGGTTAATGAAAACAACGGCTTGCAATCCTATTTCCTACAGCAAAGCTAAACAAAATGGCTAATGAGGGTGGCCTTCAGCACGCTGGCAAATGAGACCTCCAGCGAGGCCCAAGTCTGGGAATTACTTTTTGTTTTTATGAGACATGGACGTGATGAATAGCTTATTTCCTTTCGAGGAAGTCAGCAGACATGCTTCCACTGATGATGATGATGATGTCAAAGTTTTGATAATGCTCTTTGCTGTACCATATCATTCTACCTTGCCAGTCTCCACTTCTGAAAAATTGCAGCCCCCTGGCTTTGCTACTTACAGATTACTTTGAATACAAAGTATGCACATTAATGTTCATAAACTGTGTTGACCAGCTGGCGTGTTGGCAGAAGCAGCGGCCTTGATAACTCCTCCTAATCCTTCCATGGTGTAAAGTGGAATTTGTTAGCAGTACACGTTTGTTCATTATTTTAAGTGCCTCCCCCCCCAGCTTTACCGCTGCCTTTGTGGTATTTATTCTCTACAGCTATCCCAGACTGTGGATACATTACACAATTAATATAAAACCGTTTCAGTAACACATTAGCCCAGGGATCTCACCGGGCTTATAAATCATCCAAAGAAAAACAAAGTGCCAGCAATATTTTGTCAACTCCAAATGTCTCCCAAACCGTGCTGTGGCTCTTCTCGTCAGTTAGCTCATCAGTCTTCCCATCTGTTACCCAAGACTCTCTTGGGCAGGGGAGAACTGAGTTTTGCAGGATCTCCGTGAAGGTCACTATATCCAGGGTTCGGGCCCTCTGAGAGCAGTTCTGGACAGAACAGTCCATGGGGGCCCCCATGGAGAGACAAGCTGTGCCTGCGTGGACAAGGTCTGGCTGTGTCTGTGATGCTGGTACCCAGGGCAGTCTTGTACACACTTGCCTGGTAGGGTTGCCAACTGTCTAGTGGTGCAGAGACTCTTGTCCTACCTGCTGCGCCATGCTTCCATGAATCCCTTTTCTGAGGCCTCACCCCCTGTCGCTCCTTCCCTCCTCTCGCTCCTATGCCTACCTTCGCTCACTTTCCCTAGGCTGGCTCAAGGCTTTAGGGTGTAGGGTGCTCTCTGGCAGGGAGATTGGGTTGGGAGGGGGGTTGCTTGTGGGAAGAGGTGTGGGCTCTGGGAGGGAGGCTGGGTGCAGGCGCTGGCTGGGGCAGGAAGTTGGGGTGCAGGAGGCAGTCAGGGGATTGGCACTTACTGTGGGCAGCTCCCAGAAGTGACTGGCACATCCTCTAGCAGCAACTCCTAGGCCGGGGTGGGAGGGGTGGGGAACAAGGGGCCTCCACATGCTGCTGTCCACAGACATCACCCTTGCAGCTCTCATTGGCCGCTGTTGGCCAATGGGAGCTGCAGAGCTGGCGATTGGGGTGGAGTAGCTGCGGAAACCCTTGCCCCCTCTTTAGGGCCGCAGGGATGGTACCAGCTGCTTCTAGGAGTGGTGTGGAGCGAGGGCAGGCGAGAAGCCTGCCTTATGTTTGCTGCACTATCGCTGGTGGCAGAGGACCCATAGGCCTTTTAAAATCTCCTGGGCCTTGGACAGTTGTCCCCTTCCTTCCCCCTACCCCTTTCGCTGGGCCTTCCAGACTGTCAAACAATGGACGTAAGGGAAATCTAGAGCAATGGATACCCCCTCAAGAATGTCGTGCTACCAGCCCTCTCCTGTTTATGTTAAAGGACTGCTCATTTGAGAATCTCTGTGGTCCCAACTGTTGCAGTGTCTGTGCCTACCACCAGCAAGCAATAGGCAGAGATTTGTCAGGCGTCTACTCTAAATAGGAGCCTGGTGGAGTTGTACTGTATCAGTCTTTGCCTTCTCTTCACTCCTGCTCCTTTTCAGCTTCCTCTTTAGCTGATTGGAGACAGGTCAGAAGTTGGTGAGGTTTGGAGGTGAAAAGGAGGATTCTGAAGTAAACTCAGAGGAGTGAAGGAGGGAAGTAGCTTGCTGGAGGGTTTCCAAATCCTTGTCCGAGTCTGACAATGCCCTCTGCTCCAGTTCCAAGTCCCTCCCGGTGCGAGTCTCTCAACAGTATAGCAATAGCTTCCAGCTGCATTGGGGTACATTCAGTCTTTAGGTGCCCCATCTAGTTGTGCCATACATGTCAGTGGATCCTCTAGACAACCTTAATTTCCTGGGTTAGCTTAATGTGCTGGAATACGTATGTTTATGAAGCTCCGAGTCTTCTTAATGCACTTTGAAACGGTTACATTTTCTAACCATATTCCTGCCTAGTAAAGCCTGCATCATAATCATAGTCATAGAACACTAGAACTGGAATCACAAGATTTAAAATATTCTTTAGATATTTCCACAATAAAACCAATCCCGTTTGGTAACAAGAAAAAATAGATGAATTGTGTGCAAAAATGTCTGCAATTTAATATTTCAGTTGACCTACAGATTCCTGTGCAGTAGAGAAAATCTGAGGGTGAATAGGGTTAAGTTAGTCAAAGATGTGTCTAATCTTGTATTAACTCTTACTCTAATAACAAAGACACCTTGAATGAAAGTAAACTGAACATACCTTGTAAATAGTTACCCGTTCAAGTAATGGAACAGAATAGCTTATCCCTTGAACACTTACAATGCAAGTATTAATAAGTTTCCTTTTTTCTAAAATCTCAAACTTTAAATATTAACACACAAATTTCATATATGCATGAGTATGTATTCTCTCTTTGCTCTTAACTAAATATTATTTTTGCAATAAACGATTGAACTTGTGATCAATTCAATTTCATTGTTGCTATCATAAGTATTTACTATTTTGATTTCCTTCCTAATTTTGCTGTTCATCTGACTTATTCTAGCTCCCAAACAATGTTGATAAACTGCTTATTTCCTCGAGAGTTTAAGTGGATTTGGAACTTTTTTTTGTATACTAGCAGAAATACCTGGCATTGCTCAGGTCCTTAACTGTATTAATGTTTGTTGTTTAAATGATTGAATAGGAAGGAGTTTGGGAGATGAAAGGATTCAGAGCAGGGAGTTGGGTGTGGGGAGGACTCAATGCAGGTGGTGGGGGTGCAGGAGTCAGGGCAAGGGACTGGGAGACTGGGGAGGAGGAGTGGAGTTTGCCAGGGCTGCCCATATCGGTGAGGGTGGCTCTGCTTCTGCAGCAGCTTCTCCCGGAGGGCCAGAGCTATGGGGGCCGACCAGGCTTTCAAATTGTCCAGGGGGGAGGCCAGGGTTTTATGGGCCCACCTTGTCCTCTAGCTGTCCCCTACCCTGCAACTGGTCCAGGGGGCTCTGAGGGCTGCCCCCTCCCTCCCATGCCCCCCTTCTTCTGCCCTGCAGTTGGTCCGGGAGGCAAAGCAGGGTCCCCCTGACAGCCAGCAGCTGGTCCGGGGCCGAGCTGTGGTTCCTGGTGTCTCCTCCAGACCGGGGGCAGGCTGTGATTCCTGGCGTCCAGCCTCTCTGGTGGCGTGGAGCTATGTTGCCCAACTGTGGTCCGGCACTGTGTGAGGCATGGGGACACTTACTCAGTCTTGTGGCCAGCAAAGTGTCATAGTCATAGAACACTAGAACTGGAATCACAAGATTTAAAATATTCTTTAGATATTTCCACAATAAAACCAAACCCTGTCCCCAGCTTGACAATCTCCTGCTGGTGCAGCTGCCCCCAGTGGTCACTCGGCAGTATCGCTGTCTCTCCAATCAGCCCCCTCCCTTTCCACATTATGGAAAACAATCCCATTCCAGGCACTTCCTGTTTTCCTGCCACACACGGGCAAACTCTGACCTTGTTTTAAGTCAAGATAAAAGAAAGCTGTATACAAAATGTAGTGATCCTAGCTCTTCATGGTTAGGAGGAGTTCTTAAACAAATGGACTCACAGACAGAGCACACACACACACTGTAATATATAGATATAGGTATATAGATGCCTAAATGACTGAAGAGTAGAAAAGCTGAGCCCAATGAAAAATAAGAGCACAACAATCTGCTTGTAGGTTTCTGATAAATAGGGCAAGATGGACTGCTGTGCACCAAGCTGGTCTTAATCCTTAGGAGTGCCCTAATGCAAAGGGACAGCATTCCATGTAGCCTGCTCACTCCTTACACAATTTAGTTACACAGGTGCACTAATGAACTCATCGGACTTTATGCAAATTGCACTTGCCTTGCTGTTTCAAAGCAAGATACGCCTTCCATCGCATCCTTGGGCTTGAGCACAACAGGGCTTTTAGTCATTTCTTGTGTTAAGGGTGAAGGGATTTTTCACTAGTATACAAAATTTGTACAACTGTTCTCTTGTGTTGAACTGTAACAGTTTATCCTGCTATTTCCGTGGCTAATTGAACAATTCTGGCTGCTGAGATACAAGGTTAGCAGTAAGCATCTGTTTTGATATATAATTGTTTGTTTCGCTCTGTCAGCAAACACTAAAAGGTACAAGATTAAATATTTCATAGCAGTCCAGTATCTGGGACTCTCTTTCATTTATTAACTGCTTGGTCTGCACTTTTATTTATCGTCAAGCTTTCATCTGGATTGCAAAGTAGTTTTGTATCTTCAAGGGTTTTTTTAAGCTTTCTACATTCATTTTATTTTAGATGCAAACAACCAAAATACTTTTTTATAAAGAAAGTTTGTCTCTCTTTTCTTTACAGAATATTCTCTTTTCTGGATGTGGTCACTCTGTGTCGTTGTGCTCAGGTTTCCAGGGTAAGAATCGATATGTGTCACTTAAAATCTATCAGCACTTTTTCCTCTTATTCTGACTGATATTTCCAGATTGCCCTTTTTATCTCAGATTGGGAAGGACATACCAGAAAACTCTGGTCACAGAATGTCTCAGCTGTGTGTATATAGTCCTCTTTCTCTGTGATTAATCTAGTGATGCCAGGAGTTTCTGGTATTTACTAGGGATATGGTAAAGTACACATTTAAACAGTTGCACACAAAGTCTCCCTGCATTCCTGATACAGAGGCAGCAGCATAGGATGGGGTGAGGAAGTGACAAGCGCCCCCCCCCATATAAACCAAAAAACCTGAATTTTAATATCCCCAATATTTACCACAGCCATGAAGGTGGTTTAATATCCAATATCCCTTTGGTGGCTGCTAAGGTCCCATTGAAGAAAAGTCAGTTAAAATCAATTAAAAAAAGTTTTCTAAACATTTTGGCTGGGTATAGAAAGGCTGCTCTCAATAGGAGCGAATGTATTCAATTCACGTTAGCTAATAATGTTTTTTAATGAATTGTGCTAACATCTGGGGGGTTTAATGCAGATGTACCATGTTCATTAATTAACTGGAACACCATGAAGAGAGCTCAGTGAACAGTTAATCTGCTCCAATAGCCAATGCAAATAGAGATGGAAGGAGAACTGAGTATTTCATTCAGTGTTTAACTGCTAAAGTAATTTGTAACTTGATGCAATTCTGCAAACATACTTCAGCTGGAGACTCCTGGAGGGAAGATGGGTGTGCAACTCCCACTAACCCAAATGCCAACTCAACCATAGCTACTAGACCTGTTTTATGGGCTCTTGACCAGAATTTCTGCTTTTTATCTTGCTATCATCTAACAAGACACATACCATGTTCACAGAAAAATTACCATAATGAATCACATAAATTAGTCATGTTCTAAATGCTTATATAAAAATTCTTTTGTCCGTGGAGTCGCTAGTACATTGGAATTACCTTATTGGTCAATCCCAGTATCTGCTGACTCTTTAAGACAAAGCTGGATAGTTTTGGGTCCACTTGATGATACACTTTCCATGGATTTGCTGTTATTCTCAGTAGTCCTATATAATACAAAAGCTGTAGCATAAATGTTTTTATTTGCAATTGAACACACCACCCAACTCCCAAGCATGATGGTCATAGTCATGGGCCCTACTAGATTTGTAATGGAGGTTGGGTGCATGAGGGAACTCTTGGTAGCGGATTGGGGTGCAGGAGGCGGCATGAGGCCTAGGAGGGAGTTTAAGTGAAGGACGGAGTTGAGACCTGAAGCTGGGGATTGGAGGTATAGATGGGGGGTGCAGGGTCTGGGAGGGGGTCTGGGTGCAGGAGAGGATTCTGACCTAGAGGAGAGGTGCAAGAGGGGGTGCAGAGGGTTTGGGTTGTGACCTGGGGCAGGAATTGGGGGGTGAGACAGTGGGGTGCCAGTTGCAGGCTCTTACCAGGAAGCGCTTACTGTAGAAGGCGCCTCCCTGCCTACTATCTAGAGGGACCCTTGGAGTAGCTCCCTGCTTGCTGCATCCCCATGCACTGCTCAAAGTGGCTGGCTCCTGGGGCCAGCACGTGTGTTTGCCAGCTCGCCCCTCGGGGTCGGGGTTTTGAGGGTAGGGATCTACCTGCTACAGTAAGCGCCTCCTGGTCAGAGCCTGTACCTGGCACCCCACTTCCTCCCATGCCCCAACTCCCTGCCCCAGGGTCACAACCCAAGTCTCTGCATTCCCTCCTGCACATCTGCCCCAGGTGTCAACCTCCTCCTGCCTATACCAGAATCACAGCTCAGGCAGCTCCCATTGGCCAGTTTCCAGCCAATGGAAGCTGCAAGGATTGTGCTGGGGCAGGGGCAGCACACGGAGCTCCCTTCCCATTGGACGCATGGCACAGAGACGCACACTCTGGCTCCTGCAGCCAGCTGCTTTAAGCAGCGTGTCGGTGCATGGCAGCAGGGAGCCTGCCTGAGGATCCTGTGGAACGTTGGTGACCCAGAGTATCAGGGCAGGCTGGATCTGGCCCACGGGCTGTATTTTGCCTGCCCCTCATCTAACTCATATGTAAATGTATAGTACTCTCACTGGATCACAGAGTACGATGTGCATCATTTGATTGTGTGCCATGAACTAAGACCCCTGGCATATTTATTTCCACTTCCTATTTTCCCAAAGGAGGAAAAAAAGTAATGAAATGAAAAACTGGACGTGAAAGCAGTATCATGATTGAAATGTTAAATGCACAGGAATTAGAGAACTCTGTTGTGGTTCCATCAACTGCTGTAAACTCTGTTCTTTTGTGCATACAACAAGAAGTATTTCATCGTACTGCAATGCTAACTTCAGTGCATGGCTTACGTATTATAAATAGAATGATGGTAGAGTTGCTGATGTTATGAGAATATAGCTTTATATTTCCTGACTCTTGTGTGTTTAAAATGGCAATTATGACATTACTTTAATATACCATTTTGTGTTTAATAAACACAAGCTATAAACCTCCAATTACTTGGTCTCACTCATAGAGTAAGTAATACATATTTTTAAAAGCCTGTCAATTTCTTCTCTTAAAAAATCACTTTTTCAAGTGAGCAAAAATGGCACTACAGAAATATTTTGCCAAGTGCATTTTCTTAAGGAGGAGAAATTTTAACAATGGGTGGTTCTTTGTGGGATTCTGTGTATTCCCTCTGGAGCGATATGGCACCCCTGATACTGAGCGTGGAACTGCTTTGTAAAACCTTTTCCTCTGGGGAAACAGGAGAGCTCTCATGAAAATGATGGACTTGTCCTACTCTCCATAAGGGAGTGCATGTCCCAGCTGCCTCAGTTCCTCTGCAGCCCAGTGTAAACAGAACTCAGCTTTGTTTCCTTGGTTTGGCTTATTTTTCTTGTGGTTACAGTAGCCTAGGATAGTTTAGCTATCACACATCTCATCCTTGTCCTGGTTGGGCCCTCTTGGAACATGAACCCTCATAAGGGCTTCAAGAAATGCACCTCCTGCTTCGCAGTCATACTAGATTCCTGTGGTCAGTGCCTTCTCTGTCTGCTTGAGACTGTCTCAGTAACCCCGTGTGCAGTTTGCTGTGCCATTATTACTCCTGGCACTAGAAGAGAGAAACTTCAGGCTTTGGGCTCGTCTGACTTCTCCAGGCCTACACCGGATACTCTGGGCTCATTGTGGGTACTGGAACTCGTCTCCGTGCCAAAGTCCTCTGCACAGTCCCCACAGTTCATTTTGCTGCTCCAACTTTGGTACCACCTGTCCTATCCGCCTCAAAGGCTGCATCTCCTCAGCCTTGTGCTGGAATCCATTCCTAGCACCCACCAATGCCAGCAAAATCAAAACGGGCAACGAAGACCAAACCTGCAGTACATATTGAGGCCTCCATAGCCATGGTGATGACAGAGGAAGTGCTGGTCTTGGCATATCATGCTTATTCGGTACAGTTATCCTCCTCAGCCCCGATTCCTGACCAATCTCCGAGCAATCATGTGTCTCTCTTTCTCTGCATTGTAAGTCCATGCAGCATCTGTCAGGGTAAAAGCCAGGAGAAGAGGGAATGCACTCCTGTGTCAATCATGACAGGTATGACTGGAGGGAGGTAAGTGTGTGAAGGAGCAGGGGTGAATAGGAAGCTTCAGGGCTTCAGCTGGGGGCATGGTCACCCTTTTCCGCTCCCGTAACCTAAGCATGTGGAGAAATATTGATATCTAATGATGTTTTGGATTGGACTTACTAAGGAGAAATGTCCAAATCTCCCTGAAATCCCTTAATTATTTTTTTTTCCAAGTTAATTTTTAGTGTTGACTAGGAATGGTAGAGTTTAACCAATAAGCTGATGCTTATTGGTTACTATAACGATAAAACTCACCTGCTGGGACCCCACTGGAATCCAAGAGACTCCAGGAGCAGGGCCAGTGGTCAGGATCCTGCTGGTGGCTAGGAGCCCATGGCGGCAGGGCGAGCAGCCAGGAGCCTGCAGTGGTAGGGCTGGCTGTGGCGATTTGATTATTCCATGAGCTCCAGATTGTACCCACTTGGATGCTTAATTGTACTCAAACCCATTCTCTCCCATAGAATCTGCTTAGTCCCAGCCATCCTCACATTTATTAATTTACTAGAAGATATATCTGGTGTTGCTTGGGTCCTTAATTGGGATCTAAGCAACTAGTTGACTATCCGATAAGCAAAAGCTTATCGGATAGTCGTCTGGGCCCTTGACTAGTCGCTCCCCCCCTCACAGCAAGAGGGGGAGCAGGAGCCAGTGCTGGTGGGGAGCAACCTTCCTTGGAAGCAATAGATCGGGAGTCTAACGAAGCAGCAATTTCAGAACTCTCAGTAAACAGAGCTTTGATTCCTCTCCTCTTGGAAGGAACAGCTGCAGCTAAGAGTTGAGTCTTCCATCACCTCAGGTAGAGGAATGTGAGATTTGTTTCCTGACCACAGAGTGAACAAGACTTACCATCTATCTCATAACGTGGACAGTAAGGTTGTGTTGCATGGGAAAAAATGCTAACTCTATGAGATTCCTTATGTTCACCTCGGGGTTCCAGAACAGAACTCCTCCTATTTCAGGGGAGTGCGAGTGCTACACCTCTTTCTGGGTCACAGTCATATACCTGTCCCTTTATACATAGCTTTGACTGGAGTAAAAGAACACCTCTTTCAGTAAAAATGTACATTATGAATTGGCCAAGCTATGGCAGCAAGTGTTCCATTAAACGCCTTGCTGTCGTGACCACTGTCCATGAATGCTTGGGTATCTGTGTATAGACAACAGTCTAAGATGTCTGTGATTTTCCTTTCTTTCAAACCACTAGAATGTCTGTCTCTGGACCTCCTTTACCTGCCTCCCTGAATGTACTGTGTGACTGCATATTCAGAGAACGTGTTATCGTCTGGGGCCACAGCTTATCTACATGTTTCCCAATCCCTTGGAGAAAAGGAACCAACAATAGGAGCCAGTCTGCTTAGGTCCAAAGGTTGCTCATCTGTTGCACTGTGTCACAATTATGACTTCACAGGGCTTTGACTTCCTGGAATTGTCACACCTCATCCTGAACAAAGGGAGTGGCTGTTGAATGCCCTCACTCTGTCTTCGAAGCATCATGCTGCATTACTTCCACTGGAGCTATACGTGTGCTGAGCAAAAATGTCCCTTCCTTTAGGTTTGTTGTGGGAGAGCAAGACTAGTTGCTTCTCTTGCCCTCACATCCAGAGCTGAGATCTCCTTTCCTGGTATATCTACAACTCAGCAGCCCCCTTCTAGGGTCATTCTGCATGCAGAACTCCCGCAGTTGGGATATGTAGAAGCCACTGGAAGAAGAAATGAAGGTTCCTTACTTAGATCTTTCACATCAGACTCTGCATATTCACACTTCCTGCCGACCTTTGAGTCTTAGATTAGGAGTCCTGAATTAGTGGAATGAACAGCCAGGCATGGGTGGGTTGGGCCCTTTCAAACCCATGGAAACCTTGGGGGGAGGGAGTAGCCCTATTGGACACTGCTTTCCAAAAGGTTCTGGAAGTTTGCAGCGCTGGAGCCTTGATGCCACAAATGTGAATGTGCAGAAGCTCATTTTTAAATACTATGGTTACAAGTAAGTAACTGACCTGACTGAAAATCATGTGTGCTCTGAAAATTGTTTTCATTCCTAAAGTAGGATTTCTGGTATAAAAATAAACCATAACATGAAAAAAATTAGGCTTCTGATTTTAAAATTTACAGAGGTAAGGAAATGCAAAGTTAAGGGCCCTGTCTTGACCTGCCTCTTTGTTATTGGGTTATTGTAGCATGTATGATGTGTAACCTCTGTTCTTGAGCCTATTTACTACCTCTGTTTACGTTCTTCAGTCGGAAAGCTCCTGTCTAAAGCGCAAAATAAAAAAATCCAGGCTGAGTGGTCCATAAATGGAAATGTCATTTGTGTGCAGATAGTATCGATGAGACGTTGGGACTTGTGTGCATAAGTGTTCCGTGGTATAAGGAGAATTAAGAGCACAGTATGTAGTTGTGGTAGGTCTTGTCTGATCTGATGTTGTTGACCTTAGAGTTTTTCATCAGTTGCAGTAATTATTTTGTTCTTGTTCACTTGACACAATGTTGTTTCTGAAAGGAAAAAATTGTAACTAGATTCCCACCAGCCTTTTTTCATATTAATCATGCACTGACATTTTTTTCCCCAATAAAGGCATGGAATGTCCTGGCCCTGGATGGCAGTAACTGGCAGCGAATTGACCTGTTTGATTTCCAGAGGGATATTGAGGTATAATTAAGTGACATACAAACCCATTTTCTTGTTTAAAATGTAATTACAGTGTGGAATAGATTAATACTCCCAGCATAACCCTTTCCACTTTCCCTGGAGATAGAAATCATTCATTGCAGGCCTTCTTAGCTTCAGGGAACCTTTACAGGCTTGGCAATTCATTCAGCTTTGGAAAACGGACAGAGTAACCGTACCAAGACTGTTGTTTGTGTGTGCACGTGTATGCTTATTTTAAAGAAGCTGGTTTTTGTTTACTGAGAGAGTGGAAATAACTGGAGTAAATATGTTCTTTTAGTGAAAGAGATTGCTGGTAAGTATTGGTCTAGATTTTTCTATCCCACTCAACATAATCCAGTATGTCTTTTGACTAGTATACTTGGATTTAAGCCATTAAGACACTGATCTGCTCTCTCGTAGCCAGTAGTGTTGGTTTTCCTTTGTTGGAAATGGAAGCATCAACCAGGAAGATGACAGAGATTTCCAGTTTGAGTTCATTCTAAAAGATTTACGTCTGGCTAAATCTGTTCCAAGGGAGGCATGGAGCCCATGTAGGAAATGAGAACTTTGTAACTCATGTTGTCTTACTGTTCTGAAAACTGAAGTCCCTATAGTCTTCCTGGCTGCATTTAAAAATAACTCTTCCCCCCACAAAACTTTAAACCCCTTATCAGAGTGTTACATGCTCATTTAAAAAAGAAGCAGCGTTTTTGGAGATGGGGTGAAGAGAGCAGCAATGTAGCCCAGCACACACTGAAAATCGTCAGCCTGAGATGGGCTTGTTTGAGGTCCTGGTGGAAGTTGCAAGTTACACAGCCTTTGTGGAAAGAAGGGTTAAGTGCTCTCTCTGCCAGACATGTCTAAGCATCTCATATAGACACAGAGGAGCTGGCCTCTTCTGGTCTCCTCTGCTCCTATGGTAGTAGTGGCAGCAGCCAGGAGCCCTGGGCCCCAGGAGAAGTTGCCCCTCCCCTATGTCCGTAGGCCTGAGACTGTGTAAAAAGGAGAGAGTAAAGTTGTGAATTTAAACTAGACTTTTCCCTGCTTGAGCAGTTTTGCACGGCTTTACAGGCTCCTCTTCTCTCTCTGATCCCTGTGTGCTAAATATATATTTGTCCATTAGCACTGACTTTTATTTTAATAAGAAATGATGCAAAACGTTGCCATCCCTTAACCTAAAAGGACATTCTCAAGCTGCCTAAGTCCTAAATGCTATATGCTTTGGGGGGAAGAAACTCCTAACAGCTGCAAGGTTTCCTTAAAATGTATTTGAATCCTTGGTAATCCCAAACCTATTCATAGCCATGATGAGGCCCCAGAGGGCCTACACTAACATATGCATGGTTTAAATTCTTTAACCTCCTTCTTCTGAAATGCAGCATGGGATTTATCTTCCTTTGCCCCTGTTAGCCATTGCAACCCTTTGGCAACACATCCTAGCTGCAGTTGGCATTCCAAGAGTGGTTTTATTTCAGAGAGTAGGTTTTAAGGAAGGTAAATGTTAGGGGCCTCATCAGGTTGGTAGCCCTTTTAGATCATACTATACTTTGCAGCTACTCTAATGCTCAAATGTATTTTGGTTTGGGAGGGAGGGATTAAAAATGTCTTAATACAAAACTGTTTGTAGGTAACACTTAAAAGTGATTGATGTTTCCATTCTCCAATGAGTAGAAGAGGAGAATAAAATGTTACTGGACTCTAAAACTAATGTGTGCTGATAGAGTTGTATTATTTTTCTGTCCTCTCCTCGGTCATCATCCAAAAGGGTCCTTGTGGAAAATTCACACTTGTCCTGGGAGGTACTCTTATGTAAAATAGGACAATAAACTGCATTTTCTATGTGTCTTTGAGAGGAAAAATGAAATGCTTTCTCTGTGAGAAGAGAACTCCTCTGTACTATTAATCTCCACTCTATCTCCCAAAACAAAAATCTGTACATCACATGTGACATCCTCGTCAGATGTGTTGTTTCTGTGATCAGTTGTGTTTCTTCAGTAATAATGCTTCAGCCGTTTCTTGAAAAGCCTTTTACACTGCCCAATTGCTCTGACTGTTGAGGATTTTTCTGCTGTTTAGTCTCAGCTTTCTTCCTTCAGTTTTGGGTAATTGTTTTTGTCCATCTTTAGAAGTTGAATCAGTCACCTTCAGTTTTATATTGGTGCCTTGATGGTAATTGTGTTTGCTCAGTGCCCTTAATTTACAAAGTTTTACATTTAACTTAAAACAAGAGAATGTGAAAGTGATCAGAGGAAATCTTTTTCTGTCTTTTCACAGGGTCGAGTAGTGGAGAATATTTCTAAAAGATGTGGGGGTTTCTTGCGAAAGCTAAGCCTGCGTGGTTGTCTAGGAGTGGGAGACAATGCATTAAGGTAGTGGTATGGCTTCTGCCCGCTCTTAACTATGAAGCAAAGAATGGTTCTTCCTCATCCACAGAAGGGTGGAATGTTGAATCCACTCATGAACGTGCTCAAGTGAAACCAATAACAATATGCAGCCAGAATATTTGCTTAAGCAAATGATGAATGATATGCATAGCATTTTTGTGTGTCCAAAATGAGCCTTTCTCTCTAGCCCTTCTTAAAAAATAGCAGTATAGAGTCGACCTCATGGTATTGCAATATTGGAGGAATTGGCACTGAAAACTTGAACCTCTCTCCCTTGGGCCTGGGCTGAGAGAACTTCAAAGACAAGATACGCATAACAGCTCACTCACTAGTGCACTGCACTGCCTTTAAGTCCAGCATTCAGTAGTCTATCTGAATGCACCCATGTAAAAAGCTGGCGGGAAGAATCAGCATTTTGCCCAAGATAAGCAGTGCCTGTTATTTTTATTTCTGTAGAATTGAGGCTAACGCATCTGTTTCAAAAACATAGTTGTGTTTTCTCTTTTTTTCCATGAAGGACATTTGCACAGAACTGCAGAAATATTGAAGTACTGAACCTAAATGGTTGCACCAAGATCACAGATACGTAAGTAACGTGTGTTTATTAGGAGGAATGTTGGAATGTCAACCCTGGTCATTATTAATGTACATGAACTCTGTCTCAACTTAATGGAAGATAGTGGTTGCAGATTTCTCTTCTGGGGTATGTCTACACTACAGAGTTTTGTCAGAAAAACGGCTGTTTTTCTGACACAACTTGAGGAATGTCCACACTGCAAATGCGTTCTTTCGCAAGTAAATCAAAAAAACAGAGGGGTTTTTACAGTATTGGTAATCCTCATTCTACGAGAAGGAATGCCTTTTTGTGAAAGAGCTCTGCTTACATGCGAAATAGTGTCCAGGCAGTCTGGACGCTCTCTTTCGGAAAAGTGCATCACTTTTTCTATGCGCTTTTGTAGTGTGGACGCTCTCTTTTGCAAGAAGTTTTTTGGGAAGATCTCTTCCGAAAAAAGCTGTTTGCGCAAGAAGCCGGCAGTCTAGACATAGCCTCATTGTCCCACCTCATTATCTTAGTATCATTTGTTTTCTAAATGTGGTATGAGTAAGTTATCTGCTTCCAGATGGAATGACTTGTTATGGTCTGATAAAAATGTGAAGACATCAGGAAACCTCTTCTGTTAAGCGGCTCACTCGTTATTTCATATCAGGTTGTTGGCAGTAAAGGGAAAAGATAGCGGGGGAAATCATTCTTTTTAGGCATGAATGACTTGTGTTTTCAGATGCAGCAAAGGCTGCTATCATGTCCCCCTCAGAACAGTAAGACTCACTCTGTAATGGAACAAAATAAGAATGTTCTCCTTGTTCTTCCAGGCCAGAATTTGTGGAGACTGCAAATTCTCTGCACATTGAACAGCTCCAGTTGTTGAGTTTATGGTGCTTGTGCTCACAGGCCATCTCTTGTATATTTCAAGCAGTTCTGATTCCCCTTAGAGGGATTCTGTCTGTGACATTCCAATGTCTATAGTTTTTTTCCCCTTTTTCATTCTGGGTGGGGGTATGGCTTCACTCCGAAGCATTGCAATTTTAGTCTCATTTCTGTGATGAAAAAAGGGGGTCTTTGAGGAACCTGAGTATGAAGTGACTACCTGTCTTGGTGGAAGGGAGGTGTCTCTTTTTGAAGCCATTGCTGAGAAGGGATAGCTCCAGGAGTGGGGGGGAGTTCCCCACATATAGTTATCTACAATAGCCCTGACCAGGAAGTTGTTAGGGGGTGTATATCTTTGTACAGGAGCCTTCCTAAAAGAGCTGGCAAGAATCAACCTGCCTGTACATAGACTCTGACTTTCTTTAATAAATGCGATGAGTATGTGTCGTATGATTTGGTGAATCTGTTATTATCCAAGGGCCTCAAATGTCATCAGTAAAATTGTGAGAGAGTTGTGGTGGTGATTCACGTCAAGACATCCTTCTACACTGCCGAGCACAGACTGCTAAGAGTTGGGGGAGTTCTTGTGCTTTTCCATTCATTACACATAGTTTTGAGGTTTTTCCCAGGGACAGCTGGTAGTTATGCTTTAGATTGATACATACCTATTTCAAAACAAGCTAGGTGCAAAGTTTTACGTAGTTTCTCTGTCACTTTACTGTCTTCCTGCTCAAATGCTCTTTGTAACTCCTTATAGTACCATCAGTTACTAAATTGTAAGATCCCTCTGTTTCTTAGAGTAGCTGTGCATGAGGGGCGGAGATAGGGCAGAACCATGTTATGTGTGTGCTCTTGCTACACTGATGACCTATAGATTCTGTATCCAAAAGTGTAGCTCAGTCTCAAAATGAAAGCGTGATCTTGTTGCGGGGTCTGTTCACCCTCACCTTCTGAGAGTGGGGCAGTATTGCAGTAGCCTCTGTGGTTGCATCAGTGAGGTCATGCGCAGCAACCCAATCACCGGAGTCTGAATACGTCAGCCCCTAGTCTCAGGGCAGTACTGTCCACTGGCCAGAGTCAGTAGGTATCAGCCCCTAACCTTGGGGCAGTGTGGCCCAGTGGCTGAGTGGCCTACCACTGGGTCGGCAGGAAATCCCTTCAAAACACACTGACTCAGGTGGGTAGGAGCTACCATTCATACACCCTTTCTGGGTCACTTCCTACCAGGCCTTTTGCTGGTGGGGTGTCTCCAGGGTCTGGGAGCTCGTCTGGTGTCAGCTGGGCTCTCACTTGGTGTCAGCAGGGGTCAAAGTACCTGTCTGGGTATCAGACTCTCCAGCTCCCGTGGTCCAGGCTCCCAGCTGATCCACATCCTTCCTCCTCAGCAGTCAGCCCAGAGCGAGCTGGTCTACCACCTTTTCTATGATGGTAGTTGGCTCATGCCCGGCAGTGTTGGGTGGGTAGAGATTCCACAACTAAGAGCTCTGGATTAACCCCTTCTGCCCCAGTGTGAGGTCTGTTCAGCCTGTCACAGACAGTCGAAAATAGCCTTCCTCAGAATAGTGGTGAAATTCACTAAATTAACTTGCATCCTTGGACAAAAAGGATCTGTCAGCTGAAGGAACCATTAAAAAGAGACTTTATGTATTTTTCTGGTGCAAATAGCAACTATTATTAAAAAATAGCTTCACTTCACAGTGATTAATTTTTGACGTGATTAATTTCTATGCATCAGTGTTACAACAGTTTTTAAAAACAATTCATGGGGTGAGATGATGCAGGCTAGTCACCAGTCACATTGCATGTAGCCTGCCCTGGAGTTAACACATTCTGCAAAGATGCTTAGGAACTCCTTCTGTTTCCAATGCTCACTCGTGTCTGTTCCACATTAGGTTTAGATGCACCCGTGCCAGAAGGTTTTCCCTCGGCGGTATCCACTGGGGAGTGTCTCTGGTGCCCTCAAGGATAGCACCTGCACGGCGCAGTGGAAGAAACTTAGCTGGGACTTCCTGATCTCAGTTCCTTCTTGTTCCCAGTCCTGGTGCACCGAAAACTCGCTGCTCTTACTAGTGTTGCTTTAGGCTTCCGCCATACGAAGCAGAGTTCTTGTAAAGTTAGTGTAGATATTAGCAAAACAGTGAGCTACCCCTTAGCAGCAGTGAGCTTTGTTAGTTCCATCTGCTACGCATCTGGGGGACAGGTATGCCCCAGGCTTTAAGCCCTGCGATCGCAATAAATGTCCTAGGCCTGTCTGCAATCCCCGTAATAGCTGTCTGAGGTGTCTCAGTGAAGGGCTCATCTGTAAGTCCTTTACGCCTAAGACCGGGAGTGCGCACGAGATCAGACTTGCCGTGCTCCTGATGGCGCTGGCATCCACTCTGGCCCTGGAGCAGAGGTCCGAGTTGGCACCCAGCATCGCGGCATCAATGCCTAGTGCCCTGCATACGCTGTCAACAAGCTAGCACCTGTCCATGGTCCTGGCCCAGAAGGCCGGTAGCGGATGATCTCCTGCTCCCCACCAGGGAAAGGACACGGCTGGGGGCGAGCTAAGATCCACATAGGGCAGCTCATCTCCCCATTTGGCTCACGTCAGGCGGTGCAGCCCATCCCGTTCCTGGCATAGAAGCCTGGACATAGTGGGCCTCCTCAGCGTCCGGTGTCGTCAGTGCCTGAAGCTCTCCAGGCTGTGCAGGAAATGCAGGTTCTGCCGGCCCTGCCCAAACTGACCCTAGCAGTGCCTGGACCTTGGACTAAGCCCACCCCGGGACCTTTTCGTCCTCCCTCAGACCAGTGTCACTATCGTCCATTGCAGGGCACGTCCCATCAGCATTCACTTCCTAGTAGCCAGCACATCTTGGGGCTTGGGAGGCAGTTTCTGTGGAGCTCTCTTCAATCATTGGATGCTTGGCACCGTCAGCAGGATTTGAGGTGGCCCTCACTGGTTACTTGGCACTGAAGCGTGTAGAACATGAGGACCGACCCATCACATTGCCAGGTCACCATTACAGAGCCCGGAAGCATTCGGAAGACAGGAACTGTGCGCCCCCGTCCCCATCAGTTCCGGAGACGGATATCACTGTGTTTGGGGGATTCCCCCAGCGACTGGCCCTCAATACATCTACATCCCTTTCTTCATCCTGGTACCAGTCTTGAAGTAAGAGGCATGGATCACCGGTCTTCTGAGCACAACTGGTCACCGTGGTCCCACAAAGGCACACGTCCAGCTCGGACCAACCCTCCTACAGACACCCGCACAGAAACCACCAGACGTGGAGCCACAGCTCCAGTAGATCCTTGTCACTGGCTACCAACCACTCAGGATATGGCTCCATGATGGAGCAGGACTCCGTATAGGTGGGGCAGCCTCCTTGACCTTTGGTGCTGTCCAGATCACCAGCACTGAAACTTACCCAGTGGCTGGCTCCGTGGTATCCTGGGACCCCGTGGAGGTTCACCCAGCCCTCCCAACCTGCATGCTCAGTGTCAGGAGCCATGTCGACTCAGTCCTCTTCGAGGCTTGAGGCCTCAGGGAGACAAGACCCACATGTCCATGTGGACAAAGGGGGTCAACTTGCTGGACCACCAATGGGCACCGTGGAACCCACGGTGCCAGCCTCCTCCTAGTCATTGCTGGGGTTCCTCATCCTGTTCCTCAGGATGATGCTAAGGCGGGTCATGTCCAACATCGGCTGGCAGACAGAGGAGATGGAGGAGTAGGTAGAATCCCTATTCAATGTCCTCTCCTCCCCAGCCTCTGCTAGGGTAGCCTTTCCCTCCATGAAGGAATGCCAAAAATAACCAGTGCCTTGTGGCAAGACCCTTCTCTCTGCCCCGGTATTATTTGATGCCAAGGGCAGTCTGTGTCCTATTTTGGACTTAACAATTACTTAAAGAAACTGAAGTTTCTCATAATCTCCCTGGCCTCCATGATCCCCTCACTGGATCCAGGAGATTGGTATGCTGCCTTCGACCTGAAAGAGACACATTTTCATGTAGGTACAGATGCTTTCTTCATTTCATGGTGGGTTTGGCCCACTGCCAGCTTGGTCCTGCCGTAAGGGCAGGGGACTGGACTTAATGACCTCTTAAGGTCCCTTCCGGTTCTATGATTCACCGCTGCCACTGATCATCCGAATCCATTCGATTAGAGCGCAGGCATCTTCTCTAGCCATTTCAAGACATCTGTAGAGCCACGAGATGGTCTTCGGTCCATATGTTCACAGTAAGCACTCAGAAAAGAAAAGATACAGCTACCTGTTCTGTGGCTGGTATTCTTCACCATGCGTTGCTCGTATCTATTTCACAACCTGCCCTCCTTTCCCACTGCCAGAGTTTCCAGCTAAAAGGAACCGAGGGTGGCAGGAGCTGGTGGTACCTCTTACATTGCGCCATCCGGTGCCACTCCAGAGGGTGGTAGAGCAGCTCCCTTATGGATACTGCTGAGGGAAAATCTTCTGGCACTGGTGCATGTGACAAGCACACATGCCTAATGTGGAATGTCAACATGTCCCCAAGAACCTGGGTTTCTCAGCTGGTCTCCAGGTGAGCCTTACTTGTAAGATTTTTTTAAGGGGTTATTGCTGGCTATCACTCACGGTATTTTTCAGGCACTTGTGGGCTTTCTGCGCTGTCATTTGTTTAAGGCTACACCATGTTCTGAACAATCATTTTGTAGGTTTTAGGATTGGTCCTGTCTTGGGCCGGGGGCTGGACTTGATGATCTCTTCCAGCTCTATGATTCTATGACAAAGGAAGCAGCTGGTTTCTCCAGTGCGTGGTGGCCTGCGGTTGGCACTCGCTACACAAAACCTTATTTTGTTGCTATTCCTTCAGAAATGAATCCTTAGGCAAGTGACACTCAGCCTTTAGGGTACAGGGGTTTTGAAGTCACAGCTAAACAGCAAGCCCTTTGGACGTGCTCCATCTACTCTAGACTGCCGCCAGCACACACTACTTATTTCTAGTTTGCAGTATGCGCACTTGGGCATGTGAGGCTTGGTACTTTGTTCATCTATAGGTGTTTCTCAGTACTGTCAGAAAAATCTTGGGAAGCAAGCTGGGAAAATAAGGTAGAGGATGCAGACCAAAGAGTCATTTTGTCCACTTGGATAGCATAGGTTAGAAATATCCTAGGGTACGTCTACACTGCACGGCTATTTCAGGATACCAGCAGTATCCCGAAATAGCTACCCTGCGTCTACACAAGCTGCCCGTTATTTCAAAATATTTTTTGAAATAATGGGCATGCTATTTCACCATCCTGGTAACCCTTGTCCCACAAAGGATAAGGGATGTCTCGAAATAACACGTTATTTGGAAATTCAGTCAGATTTGCGTAGCACAAATTGAGTATCTTATTTCAAGTTTAGGGTGCTGTGTAGATGCACCTGTATAGAATGGTCTTCAGCATTGGATTCTGAGTAAAAGGCTGCATGATTCAAAATGTGAAAAAGAGCTCTTTCATCTTCACACACCTATAGGCTGCTTACTAAGAGCATTTTCTCTGTCCTCTTCACCCCCAACCCACCTCCAATACCTGCCCCATCTTGTATTCTCCATCCTTGTATGTTTTTAAGTGGGGGCTTATGTGAATATACTTGTGCACGTAGTGTGTGATGGGCTAATATCCATGACCGTATCTGTGTCTGTCTTGGATAGCTAACCGTATTGCCTGAAATATTTTTTCTATATATTCTTTTTCAGGACATGCACCAGCCTTAGTAAGTTCTGCTCTAAACTCAGGCACCTTGATTTGGCTTCCTGCACTTCCATAACCAACCTGTCTCTAAAAGCACTGAGGTAGGACCTGGCATCACAGAGACCCTGTGCACCAATTTCATTCTCAATAGCTTTCTCTTTTATGTTCACTGTTCTCTGAACTTCCCAGGCCGAGTTGGAAATGAGTGGGTAGGTTACTATGATTGCAATCCAACCCTAATACAGTAAAAGCTCTGTTGTCTGGCCTGTTGGGGGGAATGTGGGGATATTCTGGGTAACGTGAGCGTTATACTTTACCAATGGAATGCCAGTTATTCAAAGAGTTAGATTGCAATAACAAGAATCAAGTATAAAATAGTGCCCAGGCACCCTCTGATCCAGCAGTAGTGCGGCACTGCAGTGTGGTTGGTTTCTTGAAGCACTTAGGTATATGCAAGTAAGGTTTGCTATACCGTAGGTTATCTTATGTCACTACATATCACTATGGGCAGTGCAAGGCGTACACCCAGATCACTAAAAATACACTTAATACTAAAATAATACTGAGCATACTGTAATCTTTCTTTGATGATTCAGAAGGCACGTTAGGATCTTACAGTGCCTCAAGGCCATGATTATCTGCCTCAATTATCAGTAGATATAGAAGGTATAGGAGATTGGGTTGAATTCTCAGTGACCCTGTGACCCATTCTGGAAGTTACTTTATGACTAAATTCCTGATTTCAGCTTGCTTATCTTCTGCCTCCTCTGCGATAAAGGAGCGTGTAGAATACGCAACTTCCTGATGTGCTGGGCAATATACTAGTCGCTAGATTACTCAGTTGAAGATTTGTATTGGGTGACATCAAAAATGCTGGTGAATTGAGCTTTCTGGTGAATTGAACGCTGGATAACAGCACTTTACTGTGTATGAATACTGAGCTCTTCTGGGTAATGTCTCCTGGTCTGCAAAGAGACAGAAATGGAAGGTGTCTTGTCCACATGATGTTTAGCCGCAGTAAAAATAATTGGATTGCAAACTGATGGTTGATTTTTATTTAAGTGACTGGCAGAGTTTTCAGTTCACATGCCTTGTAAATACCTTTTTGTTAATGTTTGACTTGTGAATGACATAACTCCTACTGCATAGCTAACAAGTGTCCCGCAGTTGCAAAATAAAGGCAAGTACATGATTACTTGTCTTAAACTGATTAGGTGACGTGGTGACTACTTAACCCTACTAAATGTAATTGCCAAGTAATCTGGAAACGGAAGGGAATGACAGGCAATGGTGGCAAGATATCTGGACAGAGGAAATGAGGCAAAAAAGAACACTGACGGTAATGGTAGGGAGTAAAGCCTAAAATATGAAAACAAAACTTGAGTAAAGTGAATTTTAAATCCTAATAAATTGATCTATCTAAAGAAGATAAAAATATAGAAAGGCGAATCTAAAGGAAAACAAAGTAGTGAAGAGGCTAGATTGAGGTATCAGAAAACAGAGAGGCTTGTTTTTGTAGCTAGCTTTCAGCAATTTCAGCCCAATTTTTTTGTGAAGGACTTCAACCTGGCCTCGAATTGTATAGGCTCAATTTTGTGCCTGCAATTATTTGCAATCACAATTGATAGCATTTCCACTTTGGTGGAAATTTTCAAGCACACATTGGTGCCTGACAAATCAGAGGGTGTGTTTTTGAAAATGAAGCCCTTCGACTCTGTTGCTCTGGCTGTATCTAGGCCTCTCCTCCACTAACGCTGTGAGTGCTCCCAGTCTCTGGACAAGAAGGTGGGACTCAGCCCTGGGATGGACTTTGGCTGCAGTAGATCAGCTTTCTTTTCTCAGAGTGCCACAAGACTGAGTTACTGGTTTTGGAGCCTGCCACTGGAGAGCTGCTCTCATCTGGAGATTTTTGTGTTTAATAAAGGAATGTTCCGTGTGGGTGTGGGGTGTGGGTGCTGCTTCCTGTGCTCAGTTGGAGTCCAGAAATGGGAATTTCCTGTGATCGGGCATGAAGCAGGATCTTTTAAGTTTCCACCCACTTCTCCTTTTGCCTCCCAAGTGAGGGATGCCCACTGCTGGAACAGCTGAATATCTCCTGGTGCGACCAAGTGACTAAGGATGGCATTCAGGCTCTGGTGAGAGGTTGTGGAGGACTCAAAGCCCTGTTTCTGAAAGGCTGCACACAGGTATGACTGTGGAGAATATGTTCATTAAACTAACCACAACAATGAGTTGCTTATGTATTCAACTTAGGTACAGCAGTGAGTGTGAAGTATTGCAGATCTCGTATTTCCAAGCATTACCTTATTCAAATGACTATTCAGGATCTACCAACTAGACGTTAAATGTGGTCTTTACTTGCTTTGAGTCCAGCATGAATCGCTGAATAATAAAAACTATCTAATAGTGGAATCTTCCCCCCTCTTTTCCCCTTTTTCAAGGATATACTAAGCAAAACCATGCTCATGTTAACATTTGTATTAACGAGGGATAAAACATCCTGGCTATGTCCTTAGACTTATTTTGGCTTTTTTAGAAGGGTCGGACAGTAGTAGAAAGCCCAGTTGAGTTGCATCTGGCCTCACACGATAAAAGTTATCGACTCTCTGGAATCTTCCAGCTGGCTAATGTAAAATTGGAACTGTAATTGTCTCATTTCAAAGCTTTTCCCATAACAAATTAGATACTTAGTAGCATCCTTTCAGAGATGTACCATGGTGTTCTTTGGATGGTGTCCAAACCAAGGAGTAAGAGGTTCTGAAGATACTACATGGATCTTTAACCCCGACACTTTTAGAATATACAGTGTTACATTAAAGTTTGTTGTTTGAGGTTAACTTTCTTTAACTTTCCTATTTTACATGCTCAGCCATTAAAGTACCCATGCTTCAAACTAGATTGAAAGTCACATAGCTCCTTTCTTACTCTCTGTAATGTGAGAGAGGTTCATACCCAGGTTACAGGTCCTCATGCTTGCTAACCAGAAACAAGCTAGAGGGACCCCAGTGTAACATCATCCAAAAGACAGTAGCTTCTGTAGTACTCTTGGTTGTAGCATTAGAGCTGAACCAAGCTCCGGTGTCAGACTGAATGTCTGATTGTCTTGTGCAGACAGACATGCTCCTGTCTAAGTCAGAATGACACTGTTGAACCTGATATAATGTTTGAGCTCCCAATTCTGGGGCGAGAGAATGGTACTTAGGCAGAAAACTAGCACCCTGCTTGCTGAAGAACAATGGTGTCTAAAGAAATTTTGCCTAAGAACATGAGAACAAATCCCCTTGCTCCTTATTTAAAAAAAAAAAAAAATCCGGGAGCTGTCGTATCTTGAATGCACATGCAGACCAGGCAGGAAGGAATGAAAGAGCAACAGGCATGTGGAGCTTAGCTTTTCTGCCTTGGGATGGTGAATTGCTGACTTGTCCCTGCTGTGTTTCCAATCTGTGGTTCCAGGAAATTTACACGATTAAAATCCAAAGATTAAACCATTAAGCCATCTTCTTGGACATACTTGGTTCGCTTTTGCCTAAATCTTGCAATTGTAGCTCATAGAGGGGTTGGTGTTAGTTTGTTTTTTCCCCCCCTCTGAAATGAGGTCAGTATTTACCTACTTGCTGATATGTAAATTTCAATAATGTTTACTTTCCCAAAGATGAGTCCCATAGTACATGGACATAGAAAGCGATAAACATTTAGTATGTTGAGCAAAGAAATAGTACATGTATCACTACATGCAAAACAAACCCAAATATTGGGACCATTGCCAATAGTTTCCTAAGCTTATGTTACTGTGGTTTTTAATAGCCTAGGAGAGACATACATGACTAGTAAGAGGTTTAACAATCCAAGTCTATTTTCAGAATTTAACTCACTAAAAAACAGCTTGAACTTCTGGTTATTTATGGACTCCTGTGAAATATTGATGGGAGTACATCCTTGTTATCAGTTATTTGCCATCTGCTCTGCTGGATGGAAGACTGACTATGCCTTTTTTTAGAAGCCAAAAGCAACTTGGGTGCTTTTGTGGCTCCTGCACTGGGGGAAAAAAAAAAGTTTTTAAAGAGCACTTCACAAGTGATAAAGAGGAGGGGAAATAGTGACCTAGAGGAACTCTATGAAGCATCAATTTATTAGAAACAAAGTATATCAAAATTAAAACATAGTAATTTCTTCCATTCTGTTAATTGTGTATTTTTGACCTGAGCATAATTGATTGCGATCAATAAACTAACCTTGCAAATCTATCGATTTCTCAGTCTGTGAGACAGTGGAAGATAAGAAGCGAGTGTTTATAGTCTGCCAATACACACATTTTGAGAACTGAGTGGCTCTCTCCCCTTGCCCCAGTGAAAATTCAGAGAGTGATCATTCATATTTTCACATAGAGACCACTTGGCATATAACAGATTGTTTCAGTCTATAAATTATTCTTTCCAGCTGGAGGATGAAGCTCTCAAATACATTGGAGCACACTGTCCTGAACTAGTGACATTAAATCTGCAAACCTGCTTAGTAAGTAATCTTTCCTGTGATTCCCATTTTACATGCAATGTAGCTATAAAGGGCATCTCTAAACAGGATCATGTAAGACCTACTCCACCTTTGGAACGTCATCTTTGCGAACTGGAAAATCGTACTTTGGCAAGTTCTAAAAACAAATTAACTTTTTTTGTGGTGGCATTTGATGGAGTTGTACAAGCCCTCAAAATAGCTGTGTTAGCTTTGGTTTGACAAGACTATTTGTGTCTCTGTGCTCTGCCCATGGGGCTCCTAAGTGCATCTGCAGGACTTGGTGGAAAAATTCTTTCCTTTGGGCGAGAATGCAAGTTTGTTTGCATCCAGACTTTGACAGTAGCCTTTAAAACGGAATCAAGCAGTGCATTTTTTCCTCTACAAAAAGAACCAAGTATCAGCAATGCCAAAAATATGTTTTTGAACCAAAAGAGGAACTGGGCAGAGTTCTTTGTGTACATCATCCTGACAGGACAGCATTAACAGACTGTCCCTGCCCTTTCCACTAAAGTTGTAAGAGGCTTGGAGATTTGCAGATCTGTGACTCATTCTATACTGCTAACCCACAGAAAAATCACTCGGGGGCCGCAGACTATGGAGAAGCAAACAAACAAGCCTCGCTGATGTGGCCCCCAACAGAGAATGAGAAAGATGCTCCCCCCCACATTCCCCTCACACACCAGAGCCTAGGGGGCCCAGGCTAGTAGATTTTGTGTGCTCCAGCCCTGTGGTGGGGTAGTGGGAGGCTGGAATGCCTGTGCGGGCTCCCTAGTGCTGGGGGGCGGGCAGGCTGAGCTTTGGGGGATGGATCCAGGCAAGCTGGGGGCCGCATCCAGCCCGTGGGCCTAAGGTCCCTCACCGCTGGAATAGTATTTACATGCTGACGGGAGAAGTGTGCATGATTGGCACAAGGATGGTGTCAACAATAACTTTTCAGTATTGACATTGCATACCTGGGATCTGGACCCCCTGTACCATACATTTTTTCCCCATTTGAGCAGTTGGGGCTATTGCCAGTCTCCAGGCTGATGCTTTCCATGTAGGAACTCAAGTCTGGTCAAGTCACAAAATCAATGAGGCCCAGCTTGTTTCTGTGCCTTTCCTTTGACCCGTCTTTTCTCTCCTCCCACTGGATATCTTGCTCTTGTCATCACGCCGGCAGGCGAAACTGAGCTCCAGAGCCCTGTTACTTCTGCCTCTGTCAGCCAGCACATCGCTCTTCTGACAGATTCTGCCTCAGGTGATGCCATCCCAAAATGGTTCCTGGAGTCAGACCAAGAGCCAAATGTGTCCCTGGCCAAAGGGGGTGCAGCTCTATTGAACTCAGGGAAGTTACACGGGTACTGAATTGGACGAGAATTCAGACCTGTGTCTGAGCACTTCTCTCTTGAGCAGATTGAGGTTTTTAGAAGTTGTTTGTAAAGCCAAACTGTGACTAAAATAAAAAGCATTTATATTATGGGAGGTGGTGTTGTGACCTCTATCAGACTTCCGTAATTAATCTTTCAGCCAAGTGTCACTTTGTCAGCCTTGCTGAAAAGCTGAGGCATCATGCTGCGGCGTTAGCCAGCAGATTCTGTAGCGCCAGCAGCCCCTAAAATATTTTCATGTCTGTGGGAATCAGCTGCAGACTATTTATAAGCCATTTCAGGGTGCTTTGTGCTGCTTCAGCTATCGCATAAAAATATTGGAACAAATGTCTTGCTGGTTAGTGTAACTTGCCTCCTTGCTTGTCTCAAAGGGTAGAATTGGGCAATGCATTGGATCTCAATCATCACTACTAATAGTCCTGATGTTTTGTTTTTTCTTGTAGCAAATCACAGATGATGGTCTCATAACAATATGCAGAGGATGCCATAAATTGCAATCTTTGTGTGCCTCAGGCTGCTCTAACATTACAGATGCCATCTTGAATGCCCTGGGACAAAACTGCCCACGGCTTAGGTGAGTTTCAGTCTGGAGTCATACAATGGGGATTGAGTAAAGATATAGGTGATGAGGGGACTCCAGGCATTTTTTATGCTAGAGATCAGGATTCCTAGTCCGATTTGGAAGTTCATTTGTTTACTGCTGAAGTTATTTCCACTGTTCAGTGAGAAGATTCCACAAAACATAATCCTGCAGGATATCTTGGTGCAGCAGTGTTGTGTGCTGCTCTGATGGGCTTATGTAGCATTGGTGACAACTGCATTTTTCAGTCAGCGTATTAGCTTATTTCAATTAGTCCACCACTTTTTGTGCTCGGAACTGGAAGTAAGATTTAAACTCTGTTATTCCCTGCCTCGATGCCTAGTTACCAGTGTGTGTTGAGGATAGTTATGGAGCAGGTGAAGCAACAGATAGTGAAAATTTACAAAAAAATCTATTTCGGGCAGAGAATGGGCTTCAAGTGCCATCTCTCCAAATTGTTTTAATACATATTTTATTAGGAAAAGCATCTCAAATAAAAATGTGAAAGCATAGTTAGGAAAAGAGAAAAGGAAATAAAATGAGTATAATCTGGCATCTGTTACACCTATGTGCCCTGCTTTTCCATTCTTACTTTAGACAAATGTAATGGAATTTCTGTAATCTCAAAAATAAAGTAAAAGATTATGGATACATTGTCAGTTTTCACATATATGCAGTTTGAACTTTGAAAGAAGATAAATTACTGCGGATCCCATGTTTAGGTTCAGCTCTGCCTGCAAATCAAATGCATAAAATGCCATAAACAAAAGTATCACTTATATTTAAGGAAAGTCCTGATCTTCCATTTTTGGAAATGGAAATAGTGCTCTCTCTTGCAGTATTATAGCATTGAAACATAAAACCTTATAAAACAAATAAGGAAAGTGAAGGAGGCATCAAGAAACTGCAGTAGCAGAAGCAAAGAATTTTCTGGTAGTCATCTCAACTGGGAATGAGCAATTTGCTATCCAGAAAAGTTTAAATCCATATTTGATGGCATTAAGTACTTTATTCTTACAGGACTTGTGCTGCCTTATGAAATGCTATTTCATGTAACACATTACATTGTGGTGAGACTATCAAATGGAATAGAGGGAGAACTCCATTCAGTGTCCTTGGAATGGAATACTCCATGGAAGTAAAAGCTTCAGAGGGGTAGCCAAGTTAGTGTGTACCTAGAAAAACGTAAACCACAAATAGTCTTGCAGCACGAAAAGCCCACGAAAGCTCATGATACCATCTACATGTATTGTTAGTCTTTAAGGTGCTGCTACACTATTTGTTGTTTAAGTTTTTCCATGGAAATAGTCCTCGCAGAAAGTAATGTCTTTAGTGTAGACCTGAGTCTCTCCCTACCCCACCCCTTTTAATAAAACAGGCTGTATAAAGCAAAATGATTACACCATCGTTAGCACATTCTTAATTCTTTCTGCACAGAATATTAGAAGTTGCAAGGTGTTCGCAGCTAACAGATGTGGGCTTTACCACTCTGGCCAAGGTAAGTTCTGCATTCCTCTTTGTGGCACATCTCAGTTTCTTGGGAGCACAAAGTAAGAGCAACTCTCTCCCATGAATTCATAGTTTTCAAAATATCTCTTTTTGGCTTGGAAGTGGCGTGGAAATGAGAGGCTGAGTAGATCTCTAAATTGTTCATTACTCCTTAAATTGTAAACGTTGTATTTAGCCACACAACACCCAATTACTGTAATGAGTAATATGCATCTAAAGTTAGTGAAACTGTTAACATTTAGCTGGATGCAAATCCCTGTACAATTTTGTGCCTCAGACGGATCAGCCTGCACTTATATCAGTATCACTGAATTAACACTGTTTATCTTTTCCTTTTATCTACAGAAAGGAAAACAAGTTAGTAGATATTTTATAAATGTGTTTCAGTGGGGAGGCTTGATGGATAGTCAGTATTACACTTATTTTCAGTAGCATTGGCCTCCAGGGAGCAACAAATTATCTGTAAACATGACCAGCTTTGGATGGAAGACTTCCTTTTCAGATGCACTTCATCTGTGTTGAGAAAGGAGGGTACGTGTACTGCCTGTGTTTTTATCTCATTTGCTTGTGCTTTTATTTCCTGTCTGCATTATACAGAACTGTCATGAGCTTGAAAAAATGGACCTGGAAGAATGTGTTCAGGTAAGAGTACAACTTTGTGATTGTGGGGGTTTCATGCAGGAAGGCACGCAGTGCGGAAACATCGTCTGTGACAAATGTGTCTAGGTTTTAATAGTAACACTGAAAGGCTCAGAGCACAGAATCCCAAATCCATTTTTTTAAATGAAGACAGATTGTTCCAGAACCCTTGATCAAGAAAAGGAGCTGATAAGTTTGGACAGGGTGAATTACTTGCATTTATTTGATCACCTCCATTCCAATTTTCAACAGAGGATTATAGTGAAAGAATATCGAAAAAGTTAAAATAATCTGAGGATTCCATCAAATCAAGACTGTGTGTTTGTCTATAAAGACCAGGCATAGTTCTTCAAATCTATGCACCTTTGAAAAAACCTGGCAGTTGTAAGAAATACAGGCGCCAGGGGTGAGATCTTTGCTGCCAATACATGGAAAGATCTCTGGTACATAAACTGATAGAGATCAGGAAAGGTAATTTCCAGATATTAAATGTTGCTGCAGCTGAAGTGTTTGAACAACTGTGATCTTGTATGCGAAGCTGGAGAGAAGTAACTACAAATAAAGATGAGATGCCTTCCAACCAGATATCTCCGCAAAAGTCAGTGGGCTGTAATTCTACACCAGATTTTGAGTCTGTTCCCTGGCTTTCCTAATAACTTGGTGCCACAGACTTCTTCAGCGGCTTTGTTTTATGCCCTTCATGTATGACTGAACACGATCCTTTAGCACATAGGTTGTAAGAGTGGTAAGATTTAAAGAGAACGTGAGAGACTGCATTAAATGGGTACGAAATAAGGAAGCCTTTGAAGAGACTGAAAACTGTAAGAGCAGAGCAGTTTTTGAATTCAGAATGGATAGGAAGACCATAAAGGTAATAGGGTCTCCCCTCCTGCAATAAGAAAATAGACTGGACTCAGCATGCTGACAATTAGGAAGGCCACAGAAAAGGAAATTACAGTAGTCCAGACAGGAAGTGATTTAAAGCTGTGTCCGGTGTTGCTGCTCTGTACAAACATGATCTGGAAACAAAATGTTAATGCTAATGTTTCTTAGATTAGAAATTCATGTCTTGTTTCACCTTGGAGGGTTTATCTGCATTGCAATAAAAACTGGGGCACTGGGACTCGGTGCCTGGGTCAGTTGACTTGGGTTTACAGGGCTAAAATGTGCAGTGGAAACATTCGGATGTGGGCTGGTCCCCAGGCTCTGAAACCCTGTGATGAGGGGGCAGCGTTCAGAACCCAGAATCCAGCCCAAGCCCAAATTGCTGCACTGCAATTTTGAGCCCTGCAAACCCCAGTCAGCTGACCCAGACCCGGGGTGTCAAACTCGTGGCCCATGGGTCATCTATGGTCTAAGCAGTTCCACAGTCCAGTCCACATGAGGCTGCTGGCACATTAGGTCCTGCAGAGGGGGGTAGAGTGTGTCCATATCCTTTCCCCAAGCCCAGCCCTTGCTCTCCCCTGTCCCTCCCCCATTCCGCCCCTTCCCTCAAGGCCCCTTCCCCGAGGGACGAGGCCATGGCGGGAGGCGGCTGTAGGGGCTCCCCACGCACTCACTACGGCGGCAGGAGCCGCAAGGGAGCAGAGTGACCGGGCTGGCCTGGGAGATGGCAGTGGAGCAGAGCAAACTGCTGTGTCACTTCGATTCCCCGTGGCTCCTGCCGCTGCAGGAGTGCGGAGGTCCTGATTCCTGCTATCAGCCCCAGGCCACCCCAGGGCCCTGTTGGGCCTGCCCAGTCCATAGGATGGTTGGAATGACCCTTCAAAGCATGGGTCTGGGGTGGCTGCCCCAAACCGTCCTATGGACAGGACAGCTCTGCACACACCTCCCCCAGACCACAGGGACCTGCCACCAGCAGCGCAGAGCTAGCAGCTGGAAGCTGCTCTAGCCCCGCTATGCTGTCAGTAGTGGCAATGGGTGTCCCTGGGGTGGCAGGCAGAGCTAGGGGATGTGCAGGCCAGCAGGTGAAGCCGGAAGACACCCCTCCCCCTCTGAGCCCTGACGGGGGTGTCTGCTGGCCTACTAGGAGGATTTGAGGACTGGCACTTGGCCCAAAGGTAAATTGAGTTGGAACCCCCCGTCCTAGTCTCTAATGACTAGAAAACTAGTGAAGTGAGGATGTTTCAGGAGCTGGAGACCAAAATCTAAGGGATAAATGGACAAATTTTGGAGAAATGAATCTAAGTATTCTGCTCACTCCTGCAAAACCTGGGACGACCAGACATTCCTTATGTTTTAAATGAGAAGAGGGGGGGAAAAGAAGCACCTTTTAGCCCACCCATCATAACGAAACAAAAAACACAGACCAGGCTTCTTAAAAATCCTTTTGTTGGTCACCACCTAAGAATGAATAGGAACCTTTGCCTAAAGTGTGGTCTCAGACCTGTTCTGGCAATGTTCAAGAGAGCAATTGCCGTTTCGGAGGGGGAAGAAACATATTGAATGCTTAAGATACTAAATTGCGATCATGCTTTGGCTAGGATGCCATTGCAGTAAAAAGATTTCAATTCTAAATGGCTTTGCATCTCTTCCAGATTACAGACAGTACATTAATCCAGCTTTCCATACACTGTCCACGGCTTCAGGTGTTGGTAAGTGTTGTTTGGGCAACAGTTTTCCATGTTCTTACTTTTTGAAATGAGAGCCTCCAGGTTTTGCCCAAATAAAGATTGCCTCTGCCGTTTGACAGCCATGTGATTGTTGCATCTAGTTTGCAGAACATGGAGCAGTGCGCAGCCCCATGTCGCTATGACCGGTGGAGACAAGAATGCAGTTCCAGAATTCAACATGCTGTCCTGGGTCCAGTTGCTGGGGGGAGAGGCACGTAGGCGGTCTCTGAATGCAACTGTTGGACCACAGCTTAGTCGGTTCTATGGATATCCCAGTGCACTGTTGTAATTCGCTTTCATACTTGGCTTCCCTGCCACAACCCTTCACACACCTTTCCTTTTCCCGTGGCATTTTAGCCTCTCTTCCATTCAGTGAGCTTGCTGCTCGTTTCTGATTCCACAGCTCTGATCGCACTTTAGATCATCCAGAAAGAAATTCTTCCACATCTCCTTACTGCATTGCAGTTGTCTGCTCTTTTGAAGGCTGTTTAGGTGATCCCACACTTTGGGGCCTGAAAGCAAGAGGTCTTGATCCAGGATTAAGTTTAGCGGTTTTGCCAGTTATCCCTACAAAAATACTAATAAAAAATAGTAATATATATGCTGTTTGGATTTTTATTTGTGTTTTTAAAGCAAGACGTTTGATCTATGATGGCGTTAATCTGTTCAGACTTTATATAACTTGGAAAGTAATTATCCTGGTGCATGGTTTAATTGTGTTCAGTACAACCCTAGATCATAGACATCTATATATTTCATAAAGGGGTTGGGCTATCAGTCCATCCTGGGAGGAAGAACAGAGATGGGTCTGAGGTTTGGGAGAGCCCCATTTGAGTCCCTGTTTCACCACTGATTTTCGGTGTGACTTTGAGCAAATCTCTTATCCTCTGTGCCTCCATTCTCCATCTGTGCAATGGGGGTTCCAGCATTGCCCTGCCTCACACAGATGCTGTGAAGAGACAGGTTGAATATAGAAATGTAATAGGATAACTACGTAAACGGTTAACCAATAAGCCTGAGCTTATCGATTTCCGTGAACAGTTACATGCAGGCTCTCACCCAGTGCCAAGGGAGCCAGCTGCCACCCCACGCTGCTGTCTCTGTATCAGAGGCTGCAAGTGGGAACCAGCGTGCTTGGCAGCCAGCTTTTAAGCTAGCTCCTGGCACACTCTGGTTCCCGGGGAGCCAGATGCAGCAGTATAAAGCTTATTCTGCAGGGAGGGACCAGCCGGCTCTGCTCCCGGGGAGCCAGCTACGCTGCAGGTTCTGCAGTATAAGCTTTATACCACAGAGCCCACAGCATGTAGCTATGTAACCGCTAAGATTTTATTTGGCTACACAGTTACCCAATTACCCACTTTTTAATATCCCTAGTCATACTGCAGTGCTGTGGGCCAGATAAATCCTCACCGAGGGGGACTGCAGTTGCCCTTGTTTCCTTTCTTCACACACTGCACCCCTGAAGCTGTCTGTGTTGATGGATAGTTCAACCGCACTTCCCCCTGAACCTGACATACGCCGGGTGTGAAATGTGCCTTGCCACTCTCATATGGGAAGTTTGTCCTGTGGGTTTGCGTTTAACAGCCTTGGCGGCCATCCTGCAAGGTCGTATGTGTAGAATAACGGGCACAAACGAGAGCGTTTACATGGCTTCTCTTCCCTTGTCTGGAGCATGGATGCTTCTGGCCTGCAACCTGTTGAATCCAAGCATGACAAGCCGAGAGGCCCGGGAGCAGTCCCCACTGAATTGGGTTTCACATTGAGTGGGAGTCTCACTTCAAATCACATTTTCTCACTTCTGAACAGAATGTTTCCGTCTGCGAGGGGAGAGACGGCAAAGGCCACTGCAGAAGGGAGCGCTCACTGAGGCAGTTTGCGCTGACCCTGCCTGGTGCCTAAAATGGCAGTTCCCTCACTGCTGGCACTCTGGGTTTGAAGTGTTTGGGCCTGCCTGCTGTGCTCCCTCACATCCTCTGGGCAGGAAAATCCCACTGCTTAGGGTGTTGCTTTGCACAGGGCTTCATTGTCTTAGCTGCAACGTTTCTGTCTCTTGCATGCTCGCCCGTTCCGCTCTCTTCCACAGCGATCTGTACACCAGCTCTTGTTCCTAGCTCCTCTGCCAGCTAAATGATACATGAGCTATGCCAGTGCCCGGGGACTGGACTGACATACTCACGCTGGTGCAATGGTGAGGTCTCCCAGGTCGCGGCACAGCTCAGTTCCACATTTTTAAAATTAGGAAATAGCTAAATAGAAGGGCAGCCGGCAAATGGTGTGAAAGTCTGTCTGCCTAACAGTTCCAGTAGCTCACAGTAGTACAGCCACTGGGACTGGGGTACTGTAGAATTCTGCAGTACTTGAGAGCAGGTAAATGGTACCATTGTCGTCTTTTCTTTTGACATTACGTGGCTACGTTTCTATCTCCCATGATTTCATTGTGCGGAATATTGTATGTGAGACAAGGCAGGGGTTTTTTTTCCACCCTGCCTCTGCCCTGGTGAGGTCTGAGTTGTGTGTCTAGTTTTAAGCACCAAACTTTGAGAAAGAGGTGGGCAGATGGGAACTCCAGGGAAGGACGGCAGAATGATCAGAAATTTAGAAAAAATGGCTGGCCTGCGAGGAAAGGCTAATAGCAAACTGGGCATCTTTAGTCTTGAGAAGAGACGACATGCAGGGGGTTCCTGAGAACAGTTTTCAGATGTGTTAAGGATCGTTGTAAAGAGGACGGTGATCAGTTGTTTTCCATGGCAACTGAAGGGTAGGACGAGAAGTAATGGGCTTCATTTGCAGCAACGGTGATTTCAGTTAGATACTAGGAATAACAGTCTAACTGTATGGATAGTTGAGCCCTGGAATAAGTTACCATGGGAGGTTGTGGAATTCCTGGCATGGGAAACTTTTTAAGATTAGGCTAGACAAACACCTGGGAATGATCAATGTTTTCTTGCTCTTACCTCAATACAGGGGGCTGGGTTTGATCACATCTTGAGGTCCCCTCCATCCCTGCATTTCTGTGATTCTGTAATTTGACTGGCTTCCATCCCCATGACATCTACATTTTATGAACTTCCCCTGTGGCCGATGGAAGTATTGGCTACTTAGAGAGAGGCACACGGGCTCCCATCATGGCTCTCAACTCTCTCCACAGTCATGTGACAACAGCACACTTGCCCGGAACTGGGATGTAGCAAGTTTGCTCCAGTGTGGTTTGTTCTTCTAGGGCTTTGTCCCAGTTCATCCCGTCACCTTTCCAGAAAGCTTCCTAGCTGGCTGTGCTCGATGGCTGGACCGTTGTGTTTCCAGGCACCACTAACCACCTCTGTTTGGCTGCAGAGTTTGTCCCACTGCGAGTTGATCACCGATGATGGGATCCGTCACTTGGGGAACGGCGCGTGTGCGCATGACCGTCTGGAAGTGATCGAGCTGGACAACTGCCCTTTGATCACAGATGCCTCCTTGGAACACCTGAAGAGCTGCCATAGCCTGGAGAGGATAGAACTGTATGACTGTCAACAGATCACGCGGGCAGGGATCAAGAGACTCAGGGTAAAAACAACAAGCCCTAAGGCTTTTACTTACCCGTTACTAAACGGCTGGATGGGGAGCGGGTGGTAGTGAGGATCCAGACTCACTATAATCTAGGCCAAGTCCTTAAGGTGCCTGAGAGAGAGCGCTACTATGACAGCATCTGTGAAAGGGATAGCTGGGAAGGAACGCTCCCTTCCCTCCATGTAAGATCTGTTCAGCGGGAACAGTAATTGCACCCGAAAAGGAGGCCAGGAGACACCCACTCACTAATGCTCACTTCACAGATCCACAAGCTTGAGGATGCCCCCTCGAAACCTGGGAGTCTTGCCTCACTTCTCAGCAAAGAAATAACTTGAGCCTGTGTTAGATCGACCGCTCAGATCGAATAATCTGCGGAAATAGATGACAGAGCACTTCATAGCGATCCTTCCTCATGTGCTAGTAAATGCAGTCTAATCTCTTGCACTTGGGGAATACATGAAAAGAAGAGCATCTCTTGATACCTTACTCTTTACAGTTTGCTTTTGTAAGCTATTGGCTCGTTCAGAGAATTTGGTAATCTGCAGTTTGTCCCCAAATCACAGTACAAATGTGCAGTTTGCCTGTTATTTCATGACACAGTTTTACATCAGTAGCTTGGCATAAGTAAACTATAGCATCTTGGACCAAAGAAGGGCTTAAACTATTATTTAGTACAGCGGTTCTCAAACTTTTTGGGCCCCGGAGCCCTTTACATGTATAAAAATTTATACAGAGCCCTAGCGGTCCTCTGATTGTATGTGTTGTACCTATCGATGTTTCCAGTTTGTCAACCTCGCGGAGCCCTGGAGCTCTGCGGAGCACAGTTTGAGAAACCCTGATTTAGTACAATAGCTGCTGCACCATAGCTCATCCAATAAGGGTTTTGTTGGGTGAGGAAATGTGGTTTCGGTGAATTCGGCTGGAGTAGGAGAGGTTTCCAGGCCACCCTTGTTAGGCAGAAAAAAGAAATTGTACTTGAGAGAAAGAACTCAGTAACAATCCAGGAAAATAAAATTCCAACCTTCCACTCCAATCGTTTAAAGGCTTGATATTTTGTGAAAGAGGAAGCCTGCTTTTATTTAGGTGGCCAAGTTCAGAAAAAATAGCAGGCCTTTCAGTGTCCGCACGCTTTTCACTTGCTTGCCTGTGTGTGCCTGCGACTTGCACTGTCACAGCAGTTCGTTCTTTAAATACTGTGTTTATCTTTTCAGACCCATTTACCCAATATTAAAGTCCATGCCTACTTCGCTCCTGTGACTCCACCTCCATCAGTAGGGGGCAGCAGACAGCGCTTCTGCAGATGTTGCATCATCCTATGACATTGGAATTGGTCATCCTTGCAAACTGAGTATTTAATTACACTTCTAGAATTACAGCGGACACCTGTATCTTCAACGAATGCGATCCCAGTGTCATTTGCAAGGGCCAGTGAAAAGGGCTGTGGCACCGGGCCCCTGTAGCCACCCGTACACACGCACATACACACGCACCACCTGTTCCAGCCAGCTGATGAACTCTGTGACGTGGGAGCTGGATGTGTGTTGTCTTTTGCTGTAGGTGGATTGGTATATTTCTGAACCATTCCTACTGGGCATGCTCAGAAGAAACTACAGGGGAGGGGGTTGTGCAAACCCAAAGCGACTGCTGCTGGTTTTTTGGTTTTTTTGTTTTGTTTTGTTTTGTTTTTTAATGTTGGAACAGCACCAAAATCCTTCAGAGTTAGGGGAGGGAGAGAAACGAACATGCTTTATCCTTGCATCCACTGTCCAAAAAAACAAAGAGGTTTTGTTTTCTGTTCTTCAGTAAGAGAATGAAAACAGCAGCCATTGTGAGACTTGATTTCCTGTGCTTCGGTACTTCCTTGTTTCCATGCTAACACACTGAGCATGCTCACTTGAAGGTTCATCAGTTTCTTCTGTGTTTTGTAGCATTCGGCTCAGAGGCTTCCTAGATTGTTGTGATGATATAGCTTGAAATCTGTAACGTGAGGCTCAATTTTTTACCCCACCCATCCCTCTTTTTTTTTTTTTTACAGATTTCTAATTTAGTATTTTTTTGAGATTATTGAACATAAGTTATTTATCAATAAAAATAAGACACTTTTTACCATTAGAAGGCTGCGCCTGAAACTGCCTGGCTGATGGAAAGATCTTAAATAGATTGAGGCGTAAGCTAGAGTTTATTTGCCCATTTTTACCAATGGTTGGGTCTCAACTCTTTTTTGCATTTCAAGTTTTACCCTAGTAAAGAGAACATAGCTCACAATACAGGGGACACAGCTGCAGTCTAATTAATATTGATTCCTTGGCGCCCGCCCCCCCATCCAAAACAAAAAAAAAAGGGAAATCGGAATTGCATTACTGCTTGTTGCTCTGGTCCAGGAATGACTCCTCTGAAGTAGAAGGGTCAGCAGACCTGAAAATCTGTCCCTGAGTGTCGCCACGTTGTTGTCTATTGAGTTTGTGAATTCTCAGCAACTTCGCTGACGTTTGCATTTGCCACAGGTAAGTCTTGTGCTCGAGAAGCATCCATTTGAGTGAAATGGGAGTGTCTTCTACATCACAAGGATATGTCTTGCTTCCAGTTCCTCCCAGCTCCCCAAAAGGGTGTATTCTGGCACATTGACGTGGTCCAGCTATGTAGCAGCTGTGTTGTGAGTGATTCAGGCAAGCTTAATCCTGCTGTTTCTTGGGAATGTAAAGAGCCTGAGCCAGCCTCCAGGTAATCATTGATCCTTTGATACCAGGAGTCCAGATTGCCCAGCAGGAGAGATGCTAACAGATGGGCTGGCTCTGTGGACTTTCTGGGGCTGCCGTCAGACTGTAACAGGTTCACGGCAGGAGAGCCCAGGTGTAAGTAAATGCTCTTTTCCTGCTGTCAGCATTCTGGGAGGGAAGAGAAAGCACACGTTCTGCGAATTGTTCCCAGCTGACTGAGACACAGAGGAATGAGCGTGCTTAATCATCATAATTGTCAGAGACCCAGAAGGTAGAAGCGGCATTCTACCTTTATGGAGAAGAATTACAGGAGACGGGGAAGAAGAGAGGGTTTTATAAAGCACTAGCAATAGATGTCAGAGCTCTGAGAGTTTGGGGGCTTTTTTGCCTGCACATTTATGTGGAAGGCAGTTTTACCTTCCCCAGACTGTCATCACAACCTGAATAATTCAGGCAATTAAAGGGGTCATTTTTAGCACTGTATAAGCTATGTTGATTCATCTGCTATTCATTTCATCAACCTATCCGTATATGTTTGTGAATCTGCTGGAAAGGCATGTAGAAGAAACCAAGTGTGCATTGTTTAAAAGGATACTGACAACTGGTTCCCCATAGATTTTAATTTTTTTATGTCATATTAATTAAACCCTTTTTAGAAGCTGAAATAGTTTTCTCCTTCAACAGCAGTGCTCAAATTCCATTTGCAAAACTTTCTATTTTCCCTTGATTTCAGTGTGGCAGAATGTGTCTGGCTACTGGTTTATATTGTTGCAGCTTTTTGACTTCCTGGACAAATCAGATGTAAGTCAGTTTGGGCACAAGAAATGGTCAGTATTAGCACAGCTCTGGGGATAATCTTTTAGTTAATTTCTGCTAGGGCAAGAGGAGAAAAAACGGGTTTTGGGGGGCGGGGTTAAGTCCAGCTACAGAGTGGCTGTTTAATTTCTTGGCAATGTGTTGTTTGGTTTTGGAGGACAAATTTAAGAATTTAGAATCCAATGCATTTTCTTCAACAGGGTAACAGTTTGTGGTATCCCAAACTACTTGACAGAGTCCGTTTGTCAAGAATCCCTTTACATGGTTTCTTTTGTATGTTTTGTATTTTTATAAATACCCACAAATAACCACTTCCCAAGCTTTGTCTTGTCAGAAGAATTCCTTTGGTGGGCAAGACCTTCAGCAGTTTGGTGTATCGGGCAGGCCCTGGGTTTGGAATTTGAGACTAGGTTCCAGGTGCATTCCCACTTTGTCTTGGTTAGCCATCGGTCAGAGAAATGGGGTCCCTAGGCATGGGGGCAGGGTTATGTCTCAGCCTAAGTGCTGCTGATGCAGACATGGTAATAGACTTCAGCACCATGGATTGACCTGATGCCCACAGGAGGTATCATGGATTGAGATGGAAGGGATCATCCTTTAGAAGTGTGGAGGTTTTTGAGGGGGGAGTAACGGGACTTCTTAGAGGTTCAGCGAGGAGCAAGGCCTGCGCTGAATGTCCAGTCTGATTGGAGGACTTCTACTTGTGCCAAATACGTCAGCTAAATTAAGAACACCAGATTTCTTTCAGTTAGCGTTGTTTTCAGCAACTGGAAGAGCAGGTCTTAGTGATGTATAAGACCATTGACTGTTGAATTTACTTATTGGCTCCTTCCTTACCCACGCACTCAAAGTCCACCTACACAGCCTGAATTGCTGGTTTGATTCCATGGAAATCCTGGTGATTCACAATGGTAGTGGTGTAGGTTGAGCCATGTTTCAATTCCTTGAGAGGAAATGCTCTGCGTAATCTGTGTCTGTCTTGTCAACACGCGGTCTGTGCAGCTGGGCATTGTCCAGAGATTGGGCAGTGGCTCTTAAAACTGCACCAGTCTGTGCACTTTTGGGGAGGCAGAGTGGGGCAACCTTCAGAACCGACCAGACGGTAAAGAAACTGCGTCTCGTACAATGTGGTTCAGAGACTAGGCAGAGAGAGAACCTTTGGACTAATGGAATTTGAGATCGTCCAGGAGGAGTGCCGCGAGGAGGTCTCACACAACCAAAAATAAGAGTGAAGTCGGCAGTACTTTCAATCATGATTCTCGAGCTGTTCCTGACGGGGTGGAGACAAAAAGGTGCAGCAAGCTGTCATGATATTTAAAAAAAAAAAACCCTAAAGAAAATCCCTGTTTTCTAAACATCATTGTATTCTTCCTTTCTTCCTTTTTTTAATTTTAATCGGGATGTGTTGTTCATGGCTGGCCCATGGTGTTCTGTTTTGGTTTTTTGGGAGGGGGGTGCAGCGGAGACCAGTATGACAAGGTTCTTCACTACAGTGTCCTATTAGTGGGGGGGCGGGGGGGCAGAGAAGAGGTTGAACTGACTGTGTGTGATCCGTTGTCCACAAAGCGTGTGGCTTAGTGTACATTTATGTTTGTTTTATATGGAGCATCCACACAACTTGACCAAACTGCACAACTCCCTCTCGGTTCTGCTTTGCCAGCAATGCTGCAAGGTTAACCAGACAACTCACTGTCCTGTTCTGTAACTCTGGGCTCCCCACTGCCATGTCTGCCCTCGGAAGGGCTTCCCAGGCACACCCCAAAACTGTGCTTATCTCTCAAAGCTGCAGGCCAAAATGTTCACAGTCCACATTCAAAAATCTGGTCTCTTGCCTTCCCAGCCCATCATTTCCCACTCTGCTCCTGCCGTCGGGGAGAGCCTGTCCCTGGATTCCACGCCAAAACCCTCATGCTTGCACAATGGGGGTCACTTGCAGTAGCCCAGGTATAGAGCGGATTCCTCAGCACAATCCCATGTCTCCCATGAAGTCTGCTGGGTTTTTTAAACGCTTCTCCTCTTGTTTACACTCCGCCTGCCGTAACTTCTGTTCCCTTGCCGTTTACCGCTGCAGGGAACAGCGTCTGGATTCCCCAGTGGGGGCGCCTGTCTCTGCGACAGGGCATAACTCTCCCCTGGTTCCTTCCCACCCACCCCAGCAGGCAGGGAGGTGGGAGGGAGAAGGGTAGCACATATTGCCATGTCATTGCGGCCATCCAATGGGTCTAGCTTTCCACACCACGAGCTGGCTTTTCTTCCTTTTCACTTGGACCGTGATTTTGAAAGAACCAGCCAAGGTATGTGAAATTGCTGGCATCCGCCAGCACCCCTCTGTTTACTGTCCCCACAGACAATCTGCCTCGTGGCCCCTTGGACGTGCATCCCCTTCCCCAGCCACATGGACGCTGTTCTTCCCCTCATCCTGCACCGTTCCTTAGCTTGTGTGTAGCAGCTGATACTTGGGCCTGGCCTCAACCATTCTGTCCAACCATCATCGGCTTGTGCGCTGAGGCAAGGTGCTTACGTTGGCTGTAGATAGACAGGCTCTTGGAGACATGACGATACCTGCTGCATCATCACCCCCAGCAGCGAGGCCCTTCCCGCCACACTCAATTCTTTAACCTCTGTGGATTCCTGCAGCGGAGCAAATTCCTGATCGAAGGCCCTGTCTACACTCCACGCCTATGACAGAGTAGCCCATTCGTGATTCGGAGTCTAGACGCAGCATATGCAGACAGAAGGAGGAGTTCCGTCGCCGCTTTGACACGTGGCTCTGTCGGCATCGTTGCATTTACACTGGGTACTTTGCAAGCACAGCTATGTTGGCTAAGGGGTGTGATTTCCCACACACACACACACACACACTCCTCACCAGCATAGTGACGCTGGCATAACTTTGTAGTGTAAACCTGACGTGACTTTCCAGAGAGCGAGGCTCGTCATTTTGAACGCGGCGTTTTTGTTGTGATGAGAAGACTGTTTTGTTCGTTTTTTGCTTTTTAGCATTCAGGGTTGGGCTAATGTCCTTGACTTACCGTTCCTTTCCTTCCCTCCTCCCCCAACCACCTCTTACCTTGATCCAGTCCAAATAGCTGCAGTTTTGGATTTGTTGAGTGTACTAGTATGTATTGGAAAGGTTTCTTTTAGTATTTTTTAATTGGTTTTTAACTTTGATGGATGTATCATGTCCATTAGACTAAATTACTGGACACACAAGTTAGAACCTTGTCATACACTCCCTTAATTATATATATTATATAGAGAGATCTGTAAAATATTATTTTAATGATATTGTAATCTGTGCTTTCCCTCTCCTGGACACTAAGTGTGGATATAATAATGCCAATTAATGAAAAGTAAAAATATATATATGTAGCTAAATTGTACTTTTTTTTTGTCTGTGTGATATACCATAATACTAACACTGAGGTTGCACTAACTTGATGCTAGTGTGAAGGAATGCCTACAAATATTGAATTTTGAGGGTACACAAAATACCTAGGGATCGTCTGCCAAAGGCTCTGTTTCTTAAACACATAGGCTAGGGCCGTGATTCCCAACCTTGTTCCCATGGAGGAACCCCTAAAATAATTTTTCATATCCCAAGGACCTAAGAAAACGGTCCATAATTTCACCTGCGTTTTCAAATCGTACGAATGCCAACAGCTGAGTTTTAGTTTCAAATCGTACGAATGCCAACAGCTGGGTTTTACTTATGTCTGTTGACTCGTCGACTTGGAGAGCAAAGTTAGTATTTTTTAGTATTTCAGACAAGACATCTTCAATGTTTTATTCCACGATTTCTCACGGAACCCCCGACGATAGTCTGCGGAACCCCAGGGTTCCACGGAACCCTGGTTGGGAAACACTGGGATACGGCTTTCAAGGTGGGGGGTTTTCAAGGTTGCCTTCTTCAGGAGCAGAGGGAGGCCAGCTCTGAATGCTTTTGAAATCCCATTAATGAAACTTAGAGGTTCTTACTTGTTTGCGGGGAGGATTACATGTCCTGGCTGGTCCTCAGTCCTTGTTATTGCTGCTTGGTTAATGCATTTGTTGAATCTCATTATTTTTCAAGGCAATGGCTCACTTTCTTTTTTCCAGAGTGCAGACTCAGAATCTGGGGGATTTATGTTCTAGCCCTGGCTTGGTCACTGATGCACGGTGTGACTTTGAGCAAGTCACTGCTCTGTGCCTGTTTTTCCCATCTGTAAAATGGGGTTGATACTGATCTAATCTTCTGGGATGTTGAGGCTTAAGTTGTAAAATGCTTTGAGTTGCTTGTGTGGAAGACACTTTACTAAAGGGCCAAGAGTTAATGTATTTAGTAACAGCTGGATGTCACTAACAAAAGGCCCAAAAGGTCTTCCCCCTTTCATACTCCCATGGCTTGTGGCGGGGAGTCCCCATACTGTTCTTGTTAAGTATGCAGTGCCTACTCAAAGCATCCTAACATTGTAATCTGCAGGACTTTGGAGCCCCTCTAGTGAAAGCCTGTGAAGGAGAAAACATGCATCCCCCGGGTGAGACGTCCTCACAAGAAATGGAGTGAGAGCGACAGACAAGACCCAGCGTCGTCACAAAAATAGCTTCATTTGTATTTCATTCACCACCAGCTTTCCTCCCCAGTCGGGTTTGGGTTTGTCTGTGACTAAAAAAGAGACGGATGCTCTGAAAAGAGAACCAGCCTGTTAAGATGAGATTGTAGCTGAGCTAGTAGGGTGACCAGATAGCAAGTGAGAAAAATGGGGATGGGGGGAGGGTGATCAGTGCCTATGGAAGAGAAAGCCTCAAGTAATGAGTGAGTGACCCTACAAAATCAGGACTTCTGGTCATCTTTAGTGGGAAACGTGTCCCACGTTGTGTCGATTCTTCTGAAAGTTTCACCCATAATTATGGCAAGTGAAATATCTCTGGTCCATTAATGCCGCTTCTCACCTGCCTGTGGAAGGGGCGGATAACGGGCACCTCATTAAAGAAACCTGGGTTCCCGCTTAGGTTTTCATTCCTCAGCTGGGTGAGAGGAGCCCTTGAAAGTGAGAGATCATTGTTAGAGCCTCGATACAGCGAGAACTCGGTGTCCTATGCAAGATGTTTTGTGCTGCAGATAACATGGTGTCACCTTGGGTCTGTTTTCATCGGTATTATAAGGGATCAAGGTTCCCTGTAAGCTGAGCTCTTGTGTCAACACCCAGGAGAGATTCAAATGCCGCCCAGCTGATCAGCAGAGTGCCCACAGTTTCTACTAGTGGTGCACATCCGCCCATGCTGATGTTGTGCACAGAACAAAATATATTCCGTACATGAATGGAAAGGGAACTGCAGAAGGATCTCACAAAACTAAGTGACCGGGCAACAAAATGACGGATGAATTTTAATGTTGGAAAAGATAATCCCAACTATACGTACAAAATGACGGGGACGAAATTAGCTGTTACCACTCAAGAGCTTTTGGAGTCATTGTGGATAATTCTCTGAAAACAGCCTTTCAATGTGCAGCAGCTGTCAAAAAAGCAAACAGTGTTGGGAATCATTAAAAAGGCTATCTTATTGCCTCTCTATAAATCCAGGGTATGCTCACATCTGGAATACTGCATTCAGATGTGGTCACCTCTCGGCACTGGAAAAGGTTCAGCAAAGAGCAACTAAAATGACGAGGGGTTTGGAACAGCTGCCTTATGAAGAGAGAGAAGACTGGAACTTTTCAGCTTAGAAAAGAGAAGCCTAAAGTGGGAATATGAGGGAAGTCTATAAAATCCTGGCTGGTGTAGAGAAAGTGAATAAGGGAAAGTTATTGACTTATTTCCATTACATGGGAACTAGAGGTCATCAAATTAAATTAATAGGCAGCAGGTTTAAAACAAAAAGTATTTCTTCAAGAGTGCACAGACAACCTGTGGAACTCCTTGCCAAAGGATGTTGTGAAAGCCAGGTCTTTAACAGGGTTCAGAAAAGAATAAGAGAGATTCATGGAGGTGAGGTCCATCAGTGGCTATTGGCCGGGATGGATAGGCGTGGTGTCCCTAGCCTCTGCCAGAAGGTGGGAATGGGCGACGGGGTGGATCACTTAATGATTCCCTGTTCATTCTCTCTGGGGCAACTGGCATTGGCCACTGTTGGAAGACAGGACACTGGGCTAGTTGGAGCGTTAGTCTGACTGTTCTTACGTAACACTGTAAGGGGCAGATTTTTTTTTTTAATAAATGAAAGCTACACCAAGGAGGTGACTACGTGTGCGGGGAGGGGGAGCTATGCAACACACACACACACACTCACTCTCTGGGAACTGAGATGTGCCTGTGTAAAAATGGGAGGGGGGTGGCACGGGTTGGGCTGCAGGGCTGTCCCTGAACATGACTGCACATTCATTCTGAGAATCGTTTTTTCCTATGCAGAAAGCAAAGGCACCCAAGCTCCTCAGCTGCTTTTCCTCTGTCCCGATTCAGGTGCATGAAACAGAGTCTGGGGCAGGGGTGGGCAACAGCTTTTCAGCAGGCTGGATGCGGCCAGCCAGGCAGTCCCAGACCCCACCCCTAGCATGTTGCCGTGGAGCAGGAGAGGGGCACAGACTCATGTCGTCCCCGCCCCTGCCTAGCAGCTGCAGGGAACATGAGAGCCCTTTAAATAGAAACAGCTGGAAGGGCTTGCGCTGTCTCCAGCAATGGCTAGAGGCGCCCAGAGCTGCAAGCCCTTCCAGCTGTTTCTATAAAAGGGCTCTTGTGTGACAGCTCCCGGTGCCTCTAGAGTGTTGCTAGGGAGCCAGAGACGTGGCCCTTGCAACTGCTTCTATTCAAAGGGCTTGCCTGCTGGGGTGGCTGTGTTGCCTGGCAGGCACCAGCCCTTAACTAAGGATGTTAAATATCGAGTAATTGACTGATCAAATAGTCGATGCATTTTGCATCAATTAGTCGATAGGGCGCCCCCGCCTTTGAAGTGGCGCACCAGTCCCGGGGCTGTTGCTGTATTTCAAAGGTGAAAGCACCGCATGGAGCCCGGGAGCAGCTGGGGACTCCTCCGCTGACCCCGGGCTCCATGCAGCGTTGCCGCTTTGAAACGCCACAGGGAGCCCGGTGTCAGGCTTCTTGCAGCGTTTCAAAGCAGCAGGGCCACATGGAACCTGAGGTCAGTGGGGGAGACCGAAACTCCCCAGGATCCACATGGCACTGCCACTTTGAGTACCCCCTCCTTTCCCCTCATCTTGGTGCCTCTTTCTGATAGAGGCAGCCAGGGAGGGGGAAGCCTCCAATAAGTATTTCCTTATGGGACAGTTGTTCACATCCCTACTTTAAACAGAAGCAAATGAAAAGAGCTCACAGCTCTGCCCCACTGGCCCGTTGCCTGGGAGCTGCCCAGGAGGTGCAAGCCCTTGCAGCTGCTTCTATTCAAAGGGCTTGTGCCTGCTGGGCAGAGGGTAGAAGCAGCCAGCCCTGTTATATGAAATCTAAGCTTCCATCCCAGACAACTCTGGGAAGAGGCTGGCCCTCAGAACCATCCCCTCTGCTCCAGGCTAAGCAAAGCTCCCAGTAGAGTAGCTATCGAACCTTCCTCCCATGGCCCCTTCCGAAATTTGTGAAATATTCCCCCCCCCCCGGTCTGGGCATTGCAATGGGGGCGCTTTGCTTTGAGCCTAATGTGGCCGTTTAACCCGAGGGGGGCTTAGGCATTTCAATCCTAGCCCTGTCTCGGCAGCAGAGCCTCAAATGCGCATCTGACGCTCCCTTTCTGGATGCAAGTAGCAGAACCGAGGGTTTGGGGGAGGCGTTTGAAGCTGCCGGGCCTTGGGACCCAGGGCCGTGGCTACCAATACGTGACGTGCTCATCCCTCAGCCGGCTCCCCTGCGGGCTCTGCCCAGCTGGGCCATCCCTGGGGAGATGCTGACCCCTTCCTGCTCCTCCCTTTCCCCCGAGTGGCGTGAGGAATTGGTGTGGGGGGCTGGTGCCAGCAGCTGGAGTCAGCCCCCCGCACACACAGGCGGTGGGAAGTGGAGTGACTCAGCCCCAGCCTGCTCCACTGGCTCTCAGTGGGCTGGGGGGGCGCGCCCCCTCTCTCCCTGCTCCTGCCCCCCGCAGAGGTGCTGCTTCATAGGGCACCGAAACATCGAGGGACGGCCCTGTCTGAGCCCCCGAGGCTGGCTGGGGGGGCATGTCTGCAGTTGTACCACTGACAAGTGCGCTTGTGCAAGGCTCGGCCAGTGTGGATCCAAATGCAGGGCCAGGGCGTGGCGCTGCAGCGTCGCTTTGCTTGCCCACTCGGCTGGCTCTGCCCTGGGCGGGGCCGTGTGCACTATGGCCCAGGACTGCATCTGCGCCAGCCAGGGGCCTGGTCCATCCGCGCACACGCCCGTCAAACCGGCTGCCAGGGGTTTGTTGACGCACCAAACGGTGCAGGGGCAGAGCGGGATTTGAAATCCATTCACTCCCCCCACCTAGCAGATGGCAGCAATAGACTGAACCTTCCACTCTGCTGGTTTTAATAGAAAAGGGATCGGACAATACAACACCCACATGGAACTAGAGATCGAAACATGGCAGCTGGGTCCCGTGTTCACACTCAGGCAGGTGAGACGATGATAAAAGGCATCTGCAGGCCTCTGCCTGAGGTTTGCTTTCACTTCCACAGCAGGTCTGCAACGGGGCAGCTGGGCAGGCAGGGATTTGCCACGCCTCCCAAGGGGTTTGGGTGCCCAGCTTACTGGGAGTTGGGTGCTTTGGAAATTCTGCCCAGAAGTCCTCTGTGCACATATTTACCCCCACACACCCCCACCAGCCTCATGACATAGAGGCCTCCGGGTGGCAGGATCTCCTTCCTGACTTAGGCTGGATTTGAACCCACGCCCCTGTGGGCCGGAGCCCGCTGGCTGGGGCATGTCAGTGCCACCGTGGAGCAGCGGTGTAAACGTAACGCGTGCAGTCTAAGCGGACCGTGTGTTCAGAAAGTGGCGCGTGGGCATGTCTCACGCCAGGGCTGTCTTGGCCTACGTCCACTCCAGCCCTGCGGCGGGTCTGCCTCTCTGGGAAAGCTTCCTCTTCACCCGCTGCTTTGTGGGGAAACACCTCCCCTGGCTCCGGACAGCGATTTGGCATCACTTTTCGCATTGCACAGCTCGGCGCCGTCCTGTCCTATCTCAAAATTAGGTGGTAGCCTTCTGGAGTCTGGCCTGAGAGAGAAAGACGCACCCGTCACTTCCCCGGTCAGGCAGGAGGTCCCAACGCTTCTCCGATTCGGCCTGAGAGGGGCGTCTCAGTGCATCCAAAAAGGCTTAGGACCATGCTTTGTTATGGCACAATACAGGAACATGGCGGCAGCAACGTGTGAGAATAAAGCTTCCCCCGCACACCTGCCCCTCTCCACCCTCATAGCAACGAACCAGCTGAACGGTTAGGATCAGTCGTCCAAATTACCCTCCCCCTCCAGTGACTGTGTTGGGTGCACCTCAGCGGCCTCTCCCCTCCCCCAAGGAAGTTGCCTTGCAGAGGAGGTAGTTTGTAAGTTACAACGCTTGGGGATCAGAGTGAGTAGGATCGAAAAGCGTAGTTTGTAAGTTACAACGCTTGGGGATCCTAGGGATCAGAGTGAGTAGGATCGAAAAGACCCTCTTCCCACCTCCTGCATCGCTTATTTTTTCTCCCTATTCTTTTATGGCTGATGTTTATATGAGTCATTTCCCCCATTCTGGCAGGAGCCAAGGCCATCACAGCTGCTGCCTGGAGGTTCCCGTCATAGGTGGTTTTTTTTTTTTGGCTGCTTCTCATTTTCCCAACCCTTTCCTTTTCCCAGGGAAGCCGTGTACCTTTGGTAACAGCTGCTATGAAACAGGATTCATCTGGCAGGTTCCTGACCATCTGCAATGCCCCAGAGAGGAAAGAGACACGGTTAGCGCGGGGGTAGGTTGCAGCGTGAGTCAGCTGCTCATTCTTCAGCGCGGCTGCGGCAGGCTGGGACGAGGCGAGGTGAGAATTGCTGGGGTAGTGCTCAGTCGCCATGCAGGAGCGATTGTAGAATATCCAGCTCTTAGGTATCTACCACTGACAAGCGCTCTCAAATCACAATCCCCCTCATTGGCCCCATATGACAGCTGGGGGAAATGGGGCAGGGAGAGGGAAAGTGACATGCCCAAGGTCACCCAGCTGAGCAGTGGCAGAGCTGGGGTTAGAACACAGTTCTCCAAAGTCCCAGGCCAGTGCGCTCCCCACCAGGTCTCACAAGGTGGGATGGGCACATAATGGTGAGTCATTCGGTGCAACGTTCGCCCCCAGCTAAAAGGAGCAGAAGACTCGGGTTTGGGGATGGGTGACCCCAGTTGATTCCCCCCCTAGCTTGTTCCTGGCCTGCCAGCCCATCTCCTGTCCTCCCCCTTCACCAACCCCAGGGATCTTTTATGAGCGAGTCTGGCACCCAGCGGGCTCTGCCGGGCTAGGGGAGGCGATGGTGTGGCTAAGCCACTTACCAGGTCACTGATGATAATCTGAATCCCGGTCGGTCCCTGCTTGGAAAGCTGCTGGATCTGGTTGGCCGGGAGGCTGAGCAGCTCGGCCAGTTTATTGGTCAGTTCCGCAGCCGTGAGCTCTTCCAGGTAGACCTCCTGGTACGTGGCTTCCCAAGAAACCCCCCAGAAAAGGCCGATGAGTCAGCGCCGGGATGTCCCTCCCTCCCCACTCTGTGGGGCGACGAAACAACCTCCAGGGCCCCTGGCACTGCAGTGAAGACCAACACCCTCCCCCCCAACCCAGCTCCAGCCCCTCCTGAGCCAGGTGGCTGGCCTGGGGCAGCTTTGCACGGCTGGGTGCACAGAAATGCAGAGCTGGAGCCTGGGG